TTGGATTTGTGCCCAAAGTCATTCAGAGAGTTCCATGACTGAACACAGAGCTTAACCTAAATCTACTAAATCTCTGCTCCTTTCAGTTGTGTTGTTAGATCTATGATGATGATGATTTTATTGAATTTATATACCGCCCTATACCTGGAGGTCTCAGGGCGGTTCACAGAAAAGATCAACGTAGAAACCACAATATATATAATCAAAATAAAACAACAAACCAATAACACCTTCCCCAAAACATTTTAAAAGGGCATAGGATCTACTGCTACGATGTCTGTCAAGAAGGCTGGGAAGAGAACAGGTCAGGGCTGAACCCTGACGAAGAATCATAGAATAGTGGAAACATCCTGCCACTCTGGAACAGCTGTTGCAATTGAGTGAATTTCCACGGGAAACTCAGGAGTACAGCAGACCCCTACAGAAAGTGGTGCTAGAAGTCACCACTGACCAAGCGATCAGTGGTAACTTCAAGGTCCACTTGGATGTGTTGGATTTCCTTTTTAGCACAGCTTGCTGCACTAGAAAAATGGGTCACCTGGTGCCATAATGTTGTGAGGTGCATTGTTGATGCCTCCCGCCTGTCAAAAGGGAGCTGTTTGCCAGAGGAAGAATTCTGAGGGAAGAGACTGTTTGCCACCAGGGGATTATATGGTATTGGCAGGGTGATCTCAACAATCTGCCTTCTATAGTCTGCACCAGCTACAGTTTCTGGGTTCCTTAACCAAGGGAACACGCCCACCCCCCAGCATGTTGCAGTAATCCAGTCTTGAGGTTGCCAATGCAAAGATCACAATGGCAACATTACATTAAGCAGTAATATCAAAGGCAGACCTACCGGATAATCTTCAGACAAAATATTATCCACCTAAAAAGCCTTCTGAGATGAATAAATAAAAAAGGTCTTTGCTAAACTGGCAGAAGACAACCAGAGAAGGAGTCACTTCTAGCTTGGTTGGGAAAGGGTATCCATAATATGGGTTCAACTACTGAGAAAGCCCTAAAAGACCAATAGCCTGGAGGATGCGGACCATTTGGATCCCTTCCAATCGGGATTCAGGCCTCGTTATGGGACTGAAGCTGCCTTGGTCGCGCTGGTTGATGATCTCCGGCGGGCTAGGGACAAAGGTGAGAGCTGCTTCCTAGTTCTGCTGGATCTCTCAGCGGCCTTTGATACAATTGACCATAACATCCTTCTGGACCGTCTAGAGGGGCTGGGAGCTGGGGTCACTATTATACAGTGGTTCTGCTCCTTCCTCCTGGGCCGTGTTCAGAAAGTGGTATGGGGGATGAGTGTTCAGACCCCTGGGCCCTCACTTGTGGGGTGCCTCAGGGTTCCGTCCTCTCCCCCATGCTTTTTAACATCTATATGAAGCTGCTGGGAGAGATCATCAGGGGGTTTAGTCTGGGTGTCCATCAATATGCAGATGATACCCAGCTCTACCTCTCTTTCAAATCAGAACCAGTGAAGGTGGTGAAGGTCCTGTGTGAGTGCCTGGAGGCAGTTGGAGGATGGATGGCGGCTAATGGATTGAAGTTGAATCCTGACAAGACAGAAGTACTGTTTTTTGGGGACAGGGGGTGGGCTGGTGTGGAGGACTCCCTGGTCCTGAATGGGGTAACTGTGCCCCTGAAGGACCAGGTGCGCAGCCTGGGAGTCATTTTGGACTCACAGCTGTCCATGGAGGCACAGGTCAATTCTGTATCCAGGGCTGCTGTCTACCAGCTCCACCTGGTACACAGGCTGAGACCCTACCTGCCCGCGGACTGTCTCGCCAGAGTGGTGCATGCTCTAGTTATCTCCCGCTTGGACTACTGCAATGCGCTCTACGTGGGGCTACCTTTGAAGGTGACCCGGAAACTACAATGAATCCAGAATGCGGCAGCTAGACTGGTGACTGGGGGCAGCCGCCAAGACCATATAACACCGGTCTTGAAAGACCTACATTGGCTCCCAGTACATTTCCAAGCACAATTCAAAGTGTTGGTGTTGACCTTTAAAGCCCTAAACAGCCTCGACCCAGTATACCTGAAGGAGCGTCTCCACCCCCATCGTTCTGCCCGGACGCTGAGGTCCAGCACCGAGGGCCTTCTGGCGGTTCCCTCCTTGCGAGAAGCAAAGCTACAGAGAACCAGGCAGAGGGCCTTCTCAGTAGTGGCGCCCACCCTATGGAACGCCCTCCCATCAGATGTCAAAGAGATAAACAACTACCTGACATTCAGAAGACATCTTAAGGGAAGTTTTTAATGTATGACATATTAGTGTATTTTTGGTCTTTGTGGAAGCCGCCCAGAGTGGCTGGGGAAACCCAGCCAGATGGGCGGGGTACAAATAATAAATTATTATTATTATTATTATTATTATAGATTGTGCTTTAGATTATAGATGTGCTTTACTGCTTACGGGATCAAGTGGGGGGCAGGGGGAAAGAGGGCAAACTGTATTTTTCTTCCTGCTGTGAGAAGTTGAAACAAGAGAGCCGCTACAGGTAGCAGTTGCTGTCAACCAGCCTAATCAGTACATTTCCATTCTTTGGCAAGCTGTGACCTGCATTTCTCCCTCTAGCAGCCAAAGCTTATTAAAAGGGGACTTGATTGCTGTGGAATCCAAAGAGCCAAAGGCAATGCAGGTAGCATTAACTGTTACTGGCTACAGAAAAATACCCAACTAGATCCAGCAATGAGTTTTAGAGAAGATAGAATGTCAGTTGTTTCATTATTTAAAGAATTCCGATCCAGTTCTTCAACCCACAAAGGTTCCCAGAGCTGCTTACAGATCACTAAAAGAGATACTGCGTCTGTCTTCAGGTGTATAATTTAAAAAGGCAGGACAGAAAAGGAAAATGGATTGGGAAGGAGAAGGAAATAAACAAACTTAGGTCCAAGTTCTTAGTTACAAGTTTATATTTATTTATTCATTCATTTAAAACCATTTCCATACAACATAAAATAGAAAAATATCTAAAAGCAGCGTAGAGCAAATTGAACCATTAACAGGTTATAAAAAAATGACCTGGGTGTAAAAGCCCAAGTAAAGGGGCATCAAAAGTTGCTCATCTCTCAACTATGCCTATGTAGTGGGTGTAGGGAATTTTTATTAAATGATAGTGCAGAGATATTGCTCAGAGTATGAAGCTTTTATTATACTTCAATGCATGTAAGACTTCTTCTAAGTGCATAAAAATACTTTATAGTGGACTCGTGAGCAGATCTTGGGTCATGATTTATCGGGACTGAATCAGGTGAGTCCACTTGTGAATTTCAGTTCTGCATATTCCTCCTCCATTGCTGGGTGAGAGTCATTCTGGGGACTTTCTGCTAGCAGCAGCCAGTGGAGATCCTGCTACTAGCATTTCCATCATTTGACGAGTGGGGGGGGGGTGAGTTTCTCTGCTGTCATTCAGCAGGCATGAGCTGGTGGGAGTCTGGCAGAGGTAGGTAGGGACACACACACTTCCCAACCTGGTGCAAAGAGGATTTGGGTTGTTCTGCCAAGTGAGCGAAATACTAACGAGAGTTGTGCATGGCAGAGCATGGCCTAGAAGGGGACTGCAGATGTTTCACACCAGTCAGAAGGGATGCATCCCATTTCACCATTTGAGGCAAAATGGGAAGCTGTCAAGTATGAGATTTCCCCTCTCCCTTCTGGTAGCTTAGCCATAAGAATTAACGAGCATTTGGTAGATTTATAGTCCTTTTATTATAGCATTATGTTGCAAACACAAACAGGCAGCCCTCCGCAAGGATATCAGTTGCCTACTGTGACTCCTCCCCACTTCTGCAGCAAGGAGCATGCCAACAGGAAGTCCCCCCTGTGTCTCCTTTGTTCTCTGACATGCTCAGACCTCCGAGTTTGGGGGGAGGGAGGTGCTTCTCCCACACTCTTGACTGATGTATCGCCCAGCTGCTCCCTCCCTTCTGGTTGCTTAGCTACTATTTCATAGCTGGGTAGCTCCTCTCTCAACTGAGCAGCTTCTGTGTCTGCCTGTCTCTCTGCTTCTGGAAGCGGGGGGGGGGGGTATTCCCCCTCCTCTTCTGTTAGGAGCTGACCTCTCTGCGATTGCATTTCCCAGTCTTCCGATCCAGACCAGCCCCTGACTGAAGTGCTGCTGTGCCCTGCCACTTGTGCCTCTCCCACCACAACCTACCTGCTCCTGCAACCACCACACGCCCTGCCGCATTCACCACAGGATCTCATGTGATTTCAGGCCCCAAATTGGTGCTGCTGGTGGAAGCAGCAGGGCAGACAGGGTACTCAGCTGGGGGGGGGCACACATTTCTGCCAACTGAAGCAGCAGCATTCTCCTGTCTAATGACTGGGCCGTGATTCCAATGTTCTAATGGCATCTTGCCTGCCACAGAACCAGCTGCCTAGCAGGTAAAATGACACCAGAAGCATTATAAAAGAATGGTGAAATCCTCAGAAGAGAGGGGCCTTTAAAGGTCACTGTTCACTTTTCATTCATGACTGATTGTTTAAGGTTACTGAATTTCAATTTCAACTCAATACTAATATAGAATAATTATTATTATTATTATTTAGTGGTGATGCAGTTCATTGGAAAAATGAGTTCCGCATGATGTTAGCTAATATTGCACAGTCTTTCACTTTGTCCAGACATTTGAAATGCTTTTAGAGATATTTGAGGCACATGCAATGTACACAATCAGACTCTTACAAAATCTGTAATTGGTTAATGCTTGTGCTCACATGGAAAAACAGTATTAACATCATACCCAAATATGACTGAATGTTCTGATAAGAGGACAAAGGGTGACTTTTTGCCAGGAATCTTTAGGTTTCTTGTTTGAAAAGAGACTAAAGATGAGCTGCACAACATGTAACAATGTCCCAACTTTGCACTGAAAAACAGCTCAATCAGAAAAGTAGAAGCAAGAAGGGGTGCTAGAATTGGGGGAGGGGGGTAGAATCATAGAATTGTGGTTGGAAGGGACTACTATGGTCATTTAATCCAACCCCCTGCAATGCAGGAATCTTTTGGCCAACATGGGGCTCAAACCCATGACCTTGAGATTGAGAGTCTCATGCTCTACCGACTGAGCTATGTAGTTTACTAAAAATGGCCTCTCTCACAGCTGCTTCCTCTGCTTCGGAACACTTTCCAGTGATGTGTTTCTTGGTGTGTGTTTTTACATTAGGTAAAGGTAAGGGGACCCCTGACCATTAGGTCCAGTCGTGACCGACTCTGGGGTTGCGGCGCTCATCTCGCTTTATTGGCCGAGGGAGCCGGCGTACAGCTTCCGGGTCACGTGGCCAGCATGACTAAGCTGCTTCTGGCAAACCAGAGCAGCACACGGAAACGCCGTTTACCTTCCTGCCAGAGCGGTACCTATTTATCTACTTGCACTTTGACGTGCTTTCGAACTGCTAGGTTGGCAGGAGCAGGGACCGAGCAACAGGAGCTCACCCCGTCGCGGGGATTCGAACCGTTGACCTTCTGATCGGCAAGCCCTAGGCTCTGTGGTTTAACCCACAGCACCACCTGCATCCCGTTTTTACATTAGGTACATATTAAAAAGTACATCAAATTATCCTCCTAAAACACAAAATGAGTCCTGGAAGCAAATTGGCATCTGGCACTTATAAAGCATAATGCCTTGCAACAAGGCAATCTAGATATAACTAAGGCATGTGTCACCATGGGCCATAGCCGGCATCATCCAACAGATGTAGTTGGTGCACTAGTCTATAAGCTGGGCAAAGGTACACCTAGCTGCCGCCACCACCTGAGCATCCAGGTGCAAACATGAGTCCATAAACCCTATCAGACTGATTTATTTCCCTCTCCTGGCTTCACATTCTGTACCATATGAACACTTCTTTAACTTCATCTCTGAGGTTCTACATGTCCTGTGGTCCCATCGAGGCAGAAATTTGCAGCAGAAGCCCCCCAGTAGGATGAGACAGAGCCCCAAACAAAGGAAGGTTTGGCTTACCACATTTTAACTTCTTCCTATCTAAAGGGGGACATAAGACCATTTAAAGCACCATCTAAACTAAAGAGCCCCTCCCAAGCCCATTTGAAGTACTGGTAAGTTTAGGTTGGCCACTTATGGATCCCCAAACAAGAGGTACATAGTTATGCCAAAACTTGATTATACTGGTTTATATGTAGAGATGCACATAAAAAAAAAAATCACCATCATTTAGATAGATTTACAATACAGTGGTACCTCGGTTTAAGAACTTAATTCGTTTCGGAGGTCTGTTCTTAACCTGAAACTGTTCTTAACCTGAAGCACCACTTTAGCTAATGGGGCCTCCTGCTGCCGCTGCGCCACCGCTGCACGATTTCTGTTCTCATCCTGAAGCAAAGTTCTTAACCTGAGGTAATATTTCTGGGTTAGCAGAGACTGTAAGCTGAAGTGTCTGTAACCTGAAGCGTATGTAACCTGAGGTACCACTGTACTGTACACCTTGCCATTGTGGGAGAGCCTGTGATCAGGTGATCTGTGTGCCTTAAGGAAGAGGAAGGGGTCCTGGATACAGAGGAGGAAGGGAGAAGCTCACTATGCAAGGCCTGTGTGGTTTGGACATGAAGTGGGGCTGTGTTGCCTACCGGCTTGCGAATGCTGCATGAGCTGAAGCATAAAGGGTTGCTGCTAATAGAAAAAGCAGGGTTGGTGAGAGGGACGGTGGCAGGAGGATTTGCAAAAAAGGCAGAGCCGTCTGGGATCTGGGGAGCTTTGAAGAGCCCGGATTGAAGAGTCCTACGGAAACCCGACTGTGAGGCGCAGCCTTTCAGGAGAGACGTTATGAGAAGCCCGGGTTCCCAAATTTGGTCCTGCTCCTGCCTCTTGGTTCCATCCCCAGTGCCCACTACCCTCTAAAAAACCTTATTCAGAATCGCGGTTTGTACTAGGGAAGGACCACAACAAAATTTGAAACAGTAACAATGAATTGCCCGTTTCTTCAAAATCCAATTAAAACTAGTTTTAAACAAAGTGAATGAACTTGACACCGTGGTAGCCACCGCTTTTCGAAGGCCGATAGTACACCTTCAGCGACCCCTCTAGGTAATCCCACTGCACCCCTCCTGGCGGCACTACTGCCCACTTTGGGCACCACTGGCAGTTCGTTATAAAGCAGTTCCATGAGCTCAGCATGGAATTGTATACAATACAGTGGTACCTTGGGTTACATACGCTTCAGGTTACAGACTCTGCTAACCCAGAAATAGTACCTCGGGTTAAGAACTTTGCTTCAGGATGAGAACAGAAATCGTGCTCTGGCGGCATGGCGGCAGCGGGAGGCCCCATTAGCTAAAGTGGTGCTTCAGGTTAAGAACCGTTTCAGGTTAAGTACGGACCTCCGGAACGAATTAAGTACTTAACCCGAGGTACCACTGTAGTTGAAAGGGCCCACCAGTGTCATCTAGTCCAACCCCCTGCAATGCAGGATTATTTATTTATTTATTTAGCCCAATGCTGGGCACAAACCCACGAGCCTGCGCGACGGAAAGAAACGGGGGTGGCTGGGCAGATGATCCGTAGGTTATAGCCTGCCCCTTTATCCCCACTTCAGCATGGATTCCTCCTTTGGCACGCGCTCGCTCCTCTTCCCGCAGAGACGCGGTTCGCTTCTCGGCCGGCAGGGGGCGGCCGGCAGAGCCCCTCCTTCGGCGCTGCGCCATTGAGCAGCCTGGGAGAAAAGGAAGTGCGCTGCGCCGCCTCGCGTCCTTCCCTTCCCCGGCCTCCCTCCCGTTTTGCTGGGGACGAGAATGAGAGAGAATGAGCCAGAGAGACACCCTGGTGCATCTGTTTGCTGGAGGGTAGGTGCGAGCGAGCGGGGGCTGCCGGGGGCGCGCGCGGGAGAGGGAGGAACGTGTGAACGCAGCACCTCTGCCTCTGCAGGAGCGCGAGAGAGATTCGCTCGGGGAGCAAGCGGGCCAGATCGGTTTGCTTTGCACAAGGCCTGCCGGGGAGGGAAAAGGCGACTGGCTGGGGGTGTTAAGGGGACTCCCGGAGGGAAGCGAGCCCGCCTGGGGAGAGACCCGAGGCGGCGTTCCGGAGAAAACCTTCCCTTCTCCTTCTCGGTTGGGCTGCGGCAGCCGCGGTGCAAATGGAGTAGGAGCAGCAACTGCTGCAGGGTGGGGTAGGCGCTGAGGCTTGCATTCCTGATCCCTCTGAAATCCGGCAGGGCTGATTTCCTGACAAAACAAGAGACGCTTTGCACAGGCACCCGGCCTGATCCAGCGCCAGAGAGGGGTGGGAAGATAGCAAAGGAGCAGAATCTCTCGGAATCTCTCGCCTTGTGTTGACTTTGGGCGGAGGAGCCTCTTCCTTCCGTATCTCTCTCTTCTCCCTCCCTCCCCCGCTTTCGCATCCTTAATTGGGAAGGCCGTGACGTCACCTTTTGGGGTTGTATTTTGCGCTTGGGGGGAAAGGGGAGGAGACAGTGGCTCTACACCGGTTGGTTTTGTGTGGGACTTAATTAAGCAACATTCTGCAATCCTGACCACAACTACTCAGAAGCAAGTTATGCTGAAGTTAGTGGGGTTCACCTCCAGACAAGCGGGATTAGGATTGTGCATACAGGTACCCTGAAGACGAAGGTGTCAATATTTGGACTATTTTTGTAGGACCCCTTACTTCATGGTAGTACAGGAACAACCATTTAGGGGAAAAACTGAGCAAATTTTTCAGCGCATGCTGCTGAAAATGTCATAGAATCGTAGAGTTGGAAGGATTATTATTTTTTTGTTTCAGATTATATTATGTGGCTTTCAGTTTTAAAAACCCACATCAGGGGGTTGGAACCTCAGGCCTGGGGGCTGGGAGGCAAATGTGGCCCTCCTGGTCTCTATATGATTCTCCCCTCTGGATTCTCTGCAGGCCAACCCCCCCCCCCAAGCCACCCTGCTTCCTAACACTCATGTTTTTGCATGGTTTAAAACATGTCTTTTACCTCTGACAATGCTGCTTAGGTCACTGGATGGTAGATAAAGAGGAGTTCGAATGCATGTGTGTAGAAACTTGCCTACTGTATAAAGGGGGAATTTACATCCATTCTTTATTACAGTGGTGCCTCGCAAGACGAAATTAATCCGTTCCGCGAGAGTCTTCGTCTAGCGGTTTTTTCGTCTTGCGAAGCAAGCCCATTGACGGATTAGCGCTATTAGCGCTATTAGCGGTTGAGCGGCTATTAAAGGCTTAAAGGCGTCGGGGATTAGCTGCTAAATGGCTATTAAAGGCTATTAAAGGCTTAGCAGATTAGATAAAGGGGGGGAAAAGCGAAAAAAAAATCTCAAGACTCGCAAGATATTTTCGTCTTGCGAAGCAAGCCCATAGGAGAATTCGTCCTGCGAAGCAACTTCAAAACGGAAAACCCTTTCGTCTAGCGGTTTTTCCGTCTTGCGAGGCATTCGTCTTGCGGGGCACCACTGTATTTGTGTACTGCCCTTCATCCAAAGATCACAGGGCAGTTCACCACATAAATTCATCATTCATCGGGTTTTACATATGTGGCAAGGAATGCGGCCCTCAAGCTCAAAAATAATAATTACCTATTCCTGGGCTAGACCCAACTTTTATACCTATTCAGTTTAGTTTCTCTTCTATACTGTGGCCTGTTTATTTTGTGTTTCTAATTCTGCCAATTGATTCATGTAACGTGGTCATCTGCTACCCTCCCCCCCCCCCCAATTATCCTAAGGACACTTTTCTGTATCCAGAGCCTCTGCTTTTCTATTCAGGAATAAAGCCCTCTTGATTCAACGGGGTTTGATTTTGTGTAAATGTGCATAGAGCTGGAATAATATAAGTTTTATGAACAAGGAAAGGCTTTTCTTCATGAGATGTTGCTCTTGAATAAGCCAGATTCCATTAATTTATTTATTTTTATTTGTTTGTTTATTAAATTTGTATACTGTCCCTAATCCGTAGATCTCAGGGCAGTTCACAACATAAAAATACCAGATAGAAGCACAAATGTGTCTGACTTAAAAGAATTTCCATTCTCATAATTACTGGATTCATTTGGGTTCAGCTAATTGATAGGCCAAAAGGACACAAGAATGTGTTGGGTGTGAAGCTGAAGCCAAAGGAGGGGGAAGGCAATTGAAATGTTAATGTAATCTTATACATGTCTAAAATATACTGAATTCAGTGGGGCTGACTCCCAGGTAAGAATTGTAGCCTAGCAATGCAATCCCAACACCCATGTTGGTGGCTGAAGGAGGGGCGTAGAGTGACACCTATGTTATTTTTATGATGCTTGTGAAATCCCACTCAACACTAATCACGCTTTTGGAGTGTTAACGGGGGAATCCTATTTCTCCAATACCAGGGGCCAAAAAACTTGCTTAAAGTACAATAAAAGATCCTGTGGCCCAGTAAGAATTACTAAATATTGCATGAAAGAAGCAAGTAGTTTGGAAAATGCCCTAAGAGCAGGGGTTGCCTGGCTGATGAACACTATTGGGGCAGGAAGCTTAAAATGGTGGGGAAACTATAAATCTCTAAAAGGGAATGTTACCTTCCCCCACCACGCTCGCCTTTAGTATTTATCAAACACTTGCATGATCTGACAGAAGTAGGCAGAACAGTAAGCTGGAGAAGGGTACCATTTGCTTTTCCTCCAAGTCTTAAAAATCTGATCTTGGTTTTGAGGGAACCAATCTGCAACTTGGGGTTTGTTTATTAAATTCACACCTAGCCCGCCCTCCCTCCCGCGGTAGCCCAGGGCAGTAAAAAAAAAGTGACAAAATAAAAACGCATTAAAAGAAATTCCAATATAAATGCTGGCTGGTGTTAAATAAGCAGCCCCCCCCCCACGCCGGGTCAAAAAACCCAACAAAACAACCCTGTTTGCTTGCAGATCCTCCCCTAGGCAGATGGAATTGGCTTTGGGGTGAAACCTCTGACTTAAGGAGCATAAATCCTGTAAAGCCTAGGAACGATTTGAACAAGGCTCACTTCCTTTCCCTTTCCCTCTGGCCCAAGAGGACAGGCAGTCGAGTTGCAAAAGACCGGCGGCGTGCACAGCCCGTGCGTCCGTCCCCCTTTACTTGCAAGAGCCAAAGGTGGAGAGATAGCGCTCTAATCCGGGCAGATAACGCTTGTGAGCCTTTCCTTGCTGCGGAATCCGTGTGAACCGCACGTCTCAGCGCTCAGTATTGGGGGGGGGGGGTAGCAGCTCCCGAAGAGTCCAACGGGCATTGCTTGCTCCCAAGTAAGCACGGGCATAGGATCTGGCCCGGATTTAGGTTTGATGAGCTACTGGGGCCCTTTATATGTGCAGCTGTACTTTGTCAGCAACAAATTGTCGCTGTTTTTTGTGCTGAATATATGCTATATGATAATTTATGGACCTAATAGGGATCTAAAGCCCTTTGCACATTACAAAATATGTATTTTATCAAAGTAATTGTTGAAATGAAATACAATTAAGAAGTATATTAATAGTGAAATACAATTAAATTTTTGGGGGGGCCCAAGAGAGTGGGGCCCTAAGCTACAGCTTGTTTTAGCACGCTGTCGCCCTCCACCAGAGCTTTTGCAAATGCATCGGGTTCCTCCTCCTCCTCCTCCTCCGCCTCCTTCCCTTCCATTGATGCGCTGACTGCGCTGAGCGCCTCCGATCACGTGCGCAAAGCCTGATTAAAGCTTGGGCCGGCGACGTCACGTCGCCCGCGAGCCAATGGCGGCGTCTGTTTATATTGGGCCTCGTTTCGCGTTGGAAGAAGCGAGCGGGCCTGGCCGTTCGGTGCCTTGGAAGCTGCCTGTCGCTGCGTATCCCCGGCTGGGCGAGGAGGCGGAAGGAGGCGGCGGCGGCGGGGTGGCGAGTTCTCTGGGGCTGAGGCAGGAGGAACCGTTTGGGAGAGGGTCGTGTGGGGGCCCCTGAGCGCGGCAGGGCCAAGGCTGCTCCCTCCCGGGCTGCCTTCCTCTCCGAGGTCGATGGCAGCGCTCCTGGCCCCGCGTCCTCCTCTCTCCTCAGGCTGCCCAGGAGCGCCGGGCGGAGGCTGATCCTCTCGCCGCCTTCCCCTCGAGTGTCTTCCTGGGACGAGCATGAGAAGATGAACCAGAAAGACACTTTCGTGCACCTGTTTGCTGGAGGGTAGGTGGGAATTGTCACTGGCCTTTTGCCCTTCTCCTCCTCCCCCCCTCTTTTTCTCTCCCTCGTTCCCTTTCTATCGTTTCTTCACAACTCATACCTTCTCCCTCAGCATCCAAGTGCTGAGGGAAAACGAAACTTATTTGGTTGGGGTGACTGAGGAAATGTTAGTTCTTCTGCCTAGAATGTGCAGAACGGGATAGAGGAGACTCGTCTCGGGCGCCGGGAGACAGAACTGCTATTTTATTGGGTTGATTTTGGCCTGCTTGTTTAGATAATCTTTATGCATCACCAGTGGCGACTAAGTCAGCATTTCTAATAAATAGTTACAAGTGGGACTTGCAGGAAAATGTTGTCAGGTATCTCCAGAATACAGTCCTCTATAGTGTTGGGAAGGGAGTGTTTTGGGTCAGATTACAATCTCCCTTCTCCAAAATACCTCCTATAATTTAAGGCTTTAACCATTTTCTTCTAAATTCTTTTGTCTCCCTGCTCAAGTGATTTTGACATTATGTAAGATGTGGCAACTCACCCATCATTGTGAGGCTGCGTTTGGGATTTTAAATTTGAAAATGTGTTCATGTCCCTAGGAAGTTTTCTGGGTATGTAGAAACTGCTGGGGTGGTGGTTTTTTTTGGGGGGGGGCGTTGTTTCCAGAGTGATAGGTGTTCAGCCACCCAAATTTGCTGTGTTGGAGGGAACTGTAATCCTAGCAGAGCAGTGACATAAAAGTAGTAGCTTTTATTTTGATAAGGGAAAGGGAGGGATCAAGCATACTTCACATTGCCTGACACAGTGTTCTTCTTTCTAGATTGGCTTCATGGCATCTTGGAATAAATTTACTGTAATACTGTTGTCTTCTACATAACTAGTAAATAGGCCAGTCATACATACCTGGAATAAACCCATTAAACTCAAGGTGACATACTTCTGAATAGGCATACATAGGATTATACTGTTAGGCAGCAATCCTGTGTATACATACATATCCTGGATATATATAGGAATAAGCCTCATTGAATACGTCTGCACCTTTTTTAAAGGATCCTTTCTTTTTAAGCATTAGTTTGTAAGTATCTTGCTGACATTATTTTTCAAATAAATAAAGGCTTAGTGTTTTATTGTGTACTAAAAAAGCAGATATTTAAGTTGCTTTAAAGATAGGCCTTCTTGTATCCATAAGTAACTTTAGGGGTAGAGTTCAGGAGCTAACCTACAAAAGAATCTACTGTGACTGAATCTTGAAGGCAATGGGATGAATATGTATGGTTTCATGTCAATGTGGTAGGACTTGTTAGTTGTAAATGGAAACACTAGCCTTAACTCTCTGGAAAACTGCTTTATGTTGGGTGAATGACACTGTGCTGTGTGGTCTCAGTTTTTCCAGGCAGCTCTGAGTAGCAGGAGACCAATGTTATCTCATCTACTTTCTTGGGAAACACATTTGTTGTCCCTGTCCTTTTTCTGATAAGAGAAAATAGTATCTTAGCCTTCCTTTTCTGAATGGTCACAGGTTTTACTATTCATCTCTTTTATTGTGCTGCTTTTGAACAGACCAACTACAAATATTTCTTCCTATTCTGTCTCCTCCACAAATGCACAATTTTATACACCCCTTTTGTTTTGTGTGTGGATGAAAACCAGTGTTGTATAACTAGATAACGGGTTCAGAGACACATGACACTTGCTTGAAGCTAGTAATTTTCCACTTTTTTTGGAAGGTGGCTGAGCTAGAATCTGTTTTCTGCTTCAAGGTCCCATGGAATTGGCCAAAGTTCATATTGTGTAGAAGATACGGTAGAGACCTTGAGATTCTTGTTCTAGGAATAGCAGCTGAACATTTATCCCCAAACCCTGGATCGGCAGAGCTGCAAAATATGCATGTAGTCCAATGCATAGCAGAGTGAAAGTAACTCAGGGTCATCCGTCTCAACTATTTTTGTTACCTAGCTGCTGGGGAATGCTCTCTGGCATCATTTCTCGAGTGGCATGCTTCTCTCTCCCATTTTATCTTGACTACCGAATACACATAGCAGCTGTATTTCACTTGTATTGATCATTACCCTTGACTATACAGTATATATTTGAGATAGACAAAGGAGTTGATAATACCAAAACAGCAGCATCAAAGGGAAACATTGTTTTTTTCAAATCATATTGGCTTGTAAATATGTTAATTGGATAGTTTCTAACTTTGCTTGGGTGGTGCTGGTCTTTTGAAGCTTGTTTCAGGGAATTATTGGAGAAAGCTCCATTTTGCAGCGTATTCTCAGAAAACCTTACTTATTGCAAATATTTTTCTGACAACTTGTTCCCAGTCTTTCTTGCAGTCACTTTCTCTCCTTTCTGCTATCCCAAGCTTTCTTGTCAAGGGAAAGGAGAAGAAGAAATGGCTGTAGGAAAGACTACCTTGTTCTTGTTTCCCCCTTGCAACAACACCGACTCCCTTTCTTTTTCCTGGTGAGCCTGGGAAGCTTTCTTCCCTCACCCGTTTTCTTTGCCCAAAACTTAACTTTCAGTAGCAGCAATGGCAGGGAATGTACAATAAAGGAAGGGTGGAATTTGAGCATCCATAGGTCCTAAATGACTTACAAATAGATCCCTCCCCCGGCAATAGATATCACTAAGCTAAAAGTGGTAGTTTACTAGGACTTATTTCTTCATTTGTAATATATTTATTACATTTATATTTTATTATTTATTTATTTCATAAACGCTTATTGATTGCAAAAAAACCCCTCAAAGTGGTATATCCTACCTTCCCACTAAGGAGCTCAAGGCTGCTTTCATGGTTCCCTCTCCCCTCTTATGATTTCACAACAACCCTGTGACACAGGTTAGATTGAGAGCTTAGGTCACCAGTTGAATCTAGGTCCTTGCAGTCCTAGTCAGACACTCTTGAGCGCTACACCACACTGCCTGGTGGCATGCATGCTCTCACTCACTGGATCATCACCTTGTTGTGGTGAGTGGGTTTGCACGTTCCTATGACCCTTGTCAGTGAAGCCATTGGGAGTCTCGTACTCTCAGCAGGGTCACCCAAGGCGGTAAGGTCAAAGGTGAGGAGCTGGACAAGGAATGATCCAAGAAGTCCTCAACTGCAGAACAGGCAGAAGATAACAAGTGGTATGTTACAACGGCTGTGAAGGTGGGTGAAGACTGCAACAGATAAGAATCTGCCAGTCATCATGATACTCATGCATAGTGCCTTACTGCGAAGACTCTGCATTGGTCATCATGCACTGATCTACACACATAAAACAAATTCATGCACAGGTGTCTTCCAAAAACCCATCCCAAACCCAAACAAGTCCCATGGCGATCGGCAAATGGTAATGGGGGCAGGACCGTGAAATTTGAAAGCCTTTAGTAATGAACCGGCACATGGGCAGTGGATATAGATTCAGTTGCTCTGATTCAAGGAATGTGGCAGTTGAGTAGCTCGGCAGCTGTATCCCATGATTGAGCAGTCCTATTTAGGATCTACCCTGCTCACCCTGAATAGGGGGAGGGGCTAGAAAACATATCCTAAACATAGTCTGCCTCCCTTTTCCCCTGACCGCATCCAGTGGGGTCACCACCCTGTGGTCGTAAAAGACAGTTGAACTTTGGAACATGGAATATACGAACTTTGTTGGATAACACAGATAATGAACGTCTTGAACGCAGGACTGCCATCATTGCAAGAGAATTGTGACTTTTTAACATCGATATTGCAGTACTTCAAGAAACTCGAAGAGCAGGTGAGGGACAACTGAAGGAAGAAAAAGGAGGCTACACCTTCTGGAAAGGTCTACCTGAGCAAGAACTTTGAATACATGAAGTAGGCTTTGCTATCAAAAACGATCTTTTGAAACTCTTGTCAGAAGTCCCTACTGGCATTAATGAACAACTTTCAACCCTCCGAATAAAACTTGCCAAAAACCAACAGGCTACTATTATAAGCGCTTATGCACAAACACTGGATGCCGATAAAGACATTAAATAATTTTTTTACTCTTAGCTGGATACCATCCTATCAGAGGCGCCTGAGGTATCCTCTGGAGTGATTTTAATGCAAGAGTTGGGTGAGATTTTGATCTGTGGCCTGGGACTATTGGGAAAGAAGGAATTGGCAACAACAACCAGAATGGAGGCTTACTTTTGACTATGTGCAGTGCACAATCTTGATATTACCGAAACACTCTTTCGACAAAAAATAAATTGAAAACATATGGAGGCACCCTCAATCGAAGCACTGGCGCCTCTTAGACTATGTAATTGTCTGAGCTGAAGATCACCGTGATGTGCTCCTTCCCAGAGCTATGATGAGTGCTGATGATTGCTGGACAGATCACCGATTAATACATTCCATGATGGCTATCAAGATTATACCTCAACGCAGGCTTCAAGGAAGGAAACCAAGGCGCAAAATGAACACTCAAGCCCTGCAAGATCCTATTAAGCGGGATTGCTTCCAAATGACTCCTAAAGACAGTCTGCTTTCGGTGTTCCCTGACGACATCAAGGAACACTGGATCAAGCTAAAAACATCCATTATTGCAGCCTGTGAAAAAACTATTGGGTACCAAACCAAGAAACACCAGGACTGGTTTGATGAGAATGATAGTAAGATTGAATGTGTTATTGACAAGAAAAGGAAGGCCTTTCAGTTCTTGCAAAGAGAGAGAAATGGTGCTGCTAAGAAAAAAACCTATGCCAACACTAAGGCTGAGGTTCAAAGAAGAACCAGAGAACTAAAGAACACCTGGTGGATAAAAAAAAGTTAGAGAGATCCAGCACTTAGCTGACACTCATGATGCAGAGAGTTTCTTTAAAGCCACAAAGACCATCTATGGGCCAATAAATCATGGCATATGCCCCCTATGCTCAACAGATGGTACCACACTTCTAAAAGGTAAAGAAGCTACAGTATTGCACTGCGCTGGAAAGAACATTACCAGCATCTCCTCTCACAAATTCCGCAAATAAAAATAATCCATGTTCATAACACTATGAAGTTTCAGGGCAAACAGAGTGGTTATCTCTTCCTTGATGTTCATTGTGCTAGTTGTCTGGTGGCATCTCACTGATCGCTCGCAGAAATAGCTCTCATTTCATTAAAACTTTAGCCTGATCCAGGAAAGCAACTCACATTTTTATGTCCATGTAAACTAACCAATAGATGAATACTCCTCTCATAGATCCAGCAATAGCTTGGTAGTTTTTTGTTTCATTTATGAATCACTTCCCAAGGAGCATCCTGAATCGATTCAACACATAATAACACACCTTTAAAACAATTACATTTTTTTTTAAAAAAATGATTAATATAGTTTAAAGCAACAGCACACACATAAAATCAATTTAGTTCCAAAGACAGATACCAAATGCTATATGTATTTTAAAAGGTTTGTTGAAAGAGGAACATCTATAGCACATTCTGGAAAAAACATACAGAAGGCTTCTGATATCCAGTGGGAGGGAGTTCCGAAGGGTAGTTGCCACCATACTAAACTGCTTAGAGAGGAAGCAAGGCAGTGAGCGGTACTCAGTTGGCAGATAATGTATTGAAATATTACGTAGTTGTCAATGGGTGAAATGCAAATATTTTGCACCAGGTCCTATAGGTGTAATTTAGATGTGTTGACATCTTAAACTGTGCACAGTAGTGGACTGGCAACCAGAATATATATATTTTGGTACTAGCAAAATGTGTGTATTTGGCCTGAAATGCCTACACTCAGCCTTGTTGCTGCATTCTGTGGTGGTTGCAGCTTCCAAACAATCTGAAAGGGAAGCCCCACTTTCAGAAGCTCATATATTTTAGAGCTGCTTTGAGTGTTACACAAAACATGGGAAGGAGAGCTAATATAAGAGTAGTTTGTATGTTTCAACTCTACAATTCCATGATTCTGTAATTCTTTGATTTCTTTTCACTTGATACACAAAATACATAAAATGGAGGCACAGGTTGATGACTACTCTCCCTTCATTTTTGTATACTCATTAATTTTTTAAATAAACTATCTGTCCCACTCACAGTAATTAGCCCTGAACCTGGCTGATTATTGACAGGCTAAATAATGGAGACAATGTGTATGCACGTACATAGATTGTAAAGCACTCTGTAAAAGAGCTGTAAAGCAGAGAATAGGATGAAGTGAATCCAATGACTCTTTTTATGCATAAATGCATAACTGATCTTTTAAGTTTCAGCTCTGCAAACTGACCTTGAAATGTGGGAGTTAAGCTTGTTTCCTGAGATACTCTTACTCATAATGAGTTCTGTTGCCTGTTTCAAAGGTTTTGTTAGATGCAAGAAAAGGTATAAAGAACTGGGAAAGGGAACTTACTATTTTGTTTTCTTCATTTGGTATTGCTCAGGTTCTTTAGCTGTTCAGCTAGCACAGTTCATATATTTATCTGTGCTGGTCACTGAGCTAAGTCAAACCCAAATAATATTATTAACACTTCATGTTGTAGAGATAATGCTCTGCTAATGCAGTTAAAATAGCTTAATGCTATGTGATAACAGAAAATAGGAGCTATTGAACATTTTAAACTGACTGCTTATTAAGAGTCCAACCTATAATAAAAAGTATTTGTGGCTGTATATGTATAGATTTTGTTTGCAGTACTGCTGGTACCTGTTTGTCTTAATGACCTTCCAGGTTGATGCAGAAAATCACTTGTTGCTTCCTTTGCTATATTTCTGGTAACAAGCTTGGTAAATAAACAGTCCAGGTAGGAAAAAAGAATCTTTCAATACAGAGTCCCCCATGTTCTGTTAAGAGTAGACACTTTAGTCCCATTTTAGGCACCTGGCTGTCTGACTAATTCGTACAGAAATAACATTTGTTTTCTTTAAGAGCTCTGTTGAACGCTTTCAGTTTTTGTGTGCAGATCTTATTTTGGGAAACTTCATTTTAGAAAAACATGTAGCTGAAGTACAAAATGCTGGGCAGTAAACATATGTATATATGTGTAAAATATGTTTAGTTCTTTGTACCAAATGATTCTAGTTCCTTGTAGCTCAGACAGAAAGCAGTGCATTCTGTGTTGTTGAAACTAGCAGCTTCAGTTCTTCTGATATGGTCCATTCATGAGGCTGTACCACCAGAGAGCGGCATCAGAAGCTGTCGTTAAACCAGATTAACCTATTTGACTACCTAGTCCAATGTTTCCCACTTTGGCTACAGTGTTTTACATTGTTCTAGATTCTCACTTCTTTAAGTATGGAACAGCCACATTAGGATGTCACACTAAACTAGTGTAACATCAGCAAGCATAGTTAAATCTCTGGTTTGTGTCCCCCCTTCACTTCATCTTCCCTAGTTTGACTGTCAAGAGGAGTGAAAGCTTCCAGATTCCTCCTTCCAATCACACTGGGGAGGAGGAAGCATGAGAGCCCAAGGCTTCCTTACGCTTGTTCATGCCTAAAGTGGCATTCAAGTGTGAAGTTTTATCTAAGTAAGCAGCCTATAATTTTGATCATTTGGAGGAAATTTAATGTATCAAAACAGAATTATAAATGGAGGGTAAAAATAGGTCCCGGGCAGGGTTCAAAGGCAATTCTGAAATATTATTCTGTATAGATCACACAAGTAGTTGTTCATAAAAGCATCTCATAGTCAGAACTAGTAAAATAATATTAAAAGGCTGCATGACGTGGTATCATTTACTGTAATTGAGAGAATGTCTCTTCACCAGAGGGTAAATCACATGAATGAAGTTGAAAATGCACATTGTAATTCATTTCTATTTATAAACTTGGAAGCTTACTTGATGCTACTTTGGTGTTGGTGCAAAGACAAGATAGTTGAAAGGGTTGGTAAAGTGATACATCTAGGTCACTGGCATGAAACGTAATCTAGATGAGAGTTTATTGTTGTCTTTATGCCTCAATTAACTATGCTTGACTGTTCGCCTGTAGACCTAATGACAGACCTAATGACAAAAGCCTAGTGCTCCTGTGCTGCTCACAAGCAAGTGTTATCGCTTTAAAAATGCAGAAATTTAATCTACTTGGTTTTCATGAGGAGGCAGATTCCAATTTGAAGGACACTTGAGCAGCAAAGAGCATTTGACTGATAGCATTCTGCAACCATTAGGGGACCACAGTTTTTGCCTAGGCTCAATATCCAAGCCAAAAATTGTGGTCACCAGGTTGTTTCCCCGCCTTCTCTACCAGCTTAATTTAGATTGCCTTTACCAAGGGAACTAGTCCCCTTTTCTTTCAGGAAAAGGGGCAGGGAGCAGAGAAAGTATGGCAGCTTTGACCATTGCTTGGCAGAGGTGCCTGTAGTGATCTCACCAAGCTGCAGTCAAAGAGCAGGATCCTTGGCCACACATTTGCCAAATAACTTCTAGCCTTCCTCTGAAACTTGAGCTGGGGGAAGCAGCAGGCACAGCTCTTGGGATGATTCCCATCCATCTTCACAGCTTCATGCTTGGGAGGGACAGTGGTTGCTTGCCAGCAAGCTATAGAGCATTCACCATGATGGAAGGTGACAAGTGAAAAACAGAGGTGCCTATAGTTTCAATTTGGTTGGCCCTTTCAGCACCAAAGGCCTCAAGGATTAGAGCATTCTGAATTTTAAGAATAGCATTGAACATGCCTCAAATTAAGGGTGCACATTTTATTTTTGTAGCACAATATTTGAATATGTCCACTGTGCTTTGTTGGCTTTCTATTTTTGCTTATTTTCTGGCAGTTTTTCATGTGCTGCTGTGGTGTATTTGAACATATGCCAAGTTACAGTAGTTTGTTACTAGAATAACTAGTCCAAGAAACTAAACATTTACACAGCAGGCAATTTTCTGCATTCATGTGTTGTAGCCTCCACCCCTCCTTCTCTGAGACGCTCTGGCACTCCCCACTCAGCCCTGTACCACTTTTTCATTCTTAATAAGATGTACAGCTATGAGCTGGGGGTTTTTTTGATGGGTATTTCACTCATTCTTCTTTATTTCTGCTGCCACCACAGATAATATTTATCTAAAGACTTCACTTTTGAGAGAGTCAAGTAAAAGACATTTAGTGTAATGACAATTGATTTGTTAAAGAGAAATAATAAACAAAGGTTATATGATTATTTGAGGCATATGATTTTGTTATCTTATTACAGATGTAATAACATCTTATTGTTAATTGTTATCTTATTACAGTGACATCAGTTGCTATTATAATGCTTTCCCTATAGTTCTTAACTAACAAACCCTGCTTCCTATCCTCCACCAACTTTCACACCCTTTCTCAGCTCCACTCTCCACTCCACTGACTCTCAAGTGTCATACCCCCAACATTGAAAACCCCTTTCAAACGCTCATCCAATCATCACTCATCACCAGCATTCAAAAGTCTTTCTCTACCCCTCCCTAACACTATCGTAATTCTGCTAATATAGCACAGTATAGCATGCAAAATCATATAGGAAAACACTGGAACATTGTATGATGCAATTTTAAACAACTGAACTAGAAAGTCTAATTGTATATCTTCGGTAACTTAAAAGAAGGTTGAGAGAATGCAATCGACTTCAACTTGAGTTAGATCTGATAATGAATATTAGAAGCCTTAGCTATTCAGCCATATTTACAAGATTAAGCGAATGATAGAAATTAAGTACTGAATGCTTATGAAAGGAGCTGTAAACAAAGAACTTTTTTAGAAAGAATGAGTTGCAATCTTTAGTTGTTTCAGTACAGAAGCAATACTGAAATCCATATTATCAAACAATTTGCTGAGGATTTCTTACAGGAAGTGCATGTCTCTGTTAAATGTCGTACATGCATGCACTGCCTACAAAGCATAACACAAGGGCAATACTACACCAAAGCTTTGCTACTTTTGGAAGGAAGTATTCCTCTGTCAAGAGTCTTGCCACAGTTCCTGGCTATCTTATACCATCTTGTAAAATTGCTTGATTGTAGACATTCCGCATTCCTTGATGACTTACTATTTTTTTCTTCTTCTTTGCAGATGTGGGGGCACCGTAGGTGCGATTCTGACATGTCCACTAGAAGTTGTAAAAACACGGCTGCAGTCTTCCTCTGTTACACTCTACATCTCTGAAGTTCAGCTGAATACTGTGAATGGTGCCAGTGTTAACCGTGTAACTAGAGTTTCCCCAGGGCCTCTCCATTGCTTAAAGTGAGTACCAACCCTCCTTGAGTTTTCCTGTTTTTAAGTCTGCTGAAAGGTGCCCTTTTGCTATACAGTGGTACCTCTGGTTACGTACTTAATTCGTTCCGGAGGTCTGTTCTTAACCTGAAACTGTTCTTAACCTGAAGCACCACTTTAACTAATGGGGCCTCCTGCTGCTGCCGCGCCCCCGGAGCACGATTTCTGTTCTCATCCTGAAGCAAAGTTCTTAACCTGAGGTACTATTTCTGGGTTAGCGGAGTCTGTAACCTGAAGCGTATGTAACCCGAGCTATCACTGTATACCCTTATGCCCCTTGAAAAGAAAAAATTATATAAGGAAAAATTCAAATAAGACATGCTGGAGATGCACTTCATCTGCTGTAGGTAGTCTTCCTTGGCTTCTCCTTACTCCTCTGACTTGCAGTGTGAGGTTCTGCAGGATTTTGATATTACTGTAAAAATGTGACTGTCTTGGTTATATGGTAAACCAGAGTACTGTACACAGTATCCTATGTTCATTTATTTATTTGCTTTATATCCCACCCTTCTTCCCAGAGAAAGGAGCCCAGAGCAGCAGACACAGCAGTCACAAAATATATTTTTTAAATACTAAAAACAATTTTAAAACATTCTAAAAAACAGTTTGAAACATTCTCAACCAGTTATCTCAGGGTTGCCAAGAACAATGTCTTTCAGCCATAACATGCCTAGGTAAACAGGAATGTTTTTAAATTTCTCTTGAAAGCCAATAATGAGGGAGACAGACACATCTTACTAGGGTGGGCATGCCACAGATTCCTGTCATGGGTCATCACAAAACAAGCAATAAATGACTTTTCTTCTGTTATCTTTATGGCACCTTCTTTTGAAGTTGGTTGCTTCTGAGATTGAGTTTTCAGGTTTTAGAAAGTAAGCTCTAGGTCACGGTTTGTGCACAACCTCCCATACTTAAGACAAGGTGCAATCCTATTTGCAGACAAGAATGTGCCCTGCCAGCTGAAACCCACCATTTTGATCCATCTTTAATGGGTACCAAAAACAAAAGTGTCTGATTACTGTGCTCTGATATACTTGTCATGGATAAACGGGGTCTTGCCTTCTCCATTTCTTCTTGCACTGATATCTGATTGTTGACAATAATTCATACTGGATACCCTGGAATCTCTGGATGTTAGCGTTAACTATTAATCTATATTTCATTCACACTTTTGAAGGTTAAATATTTGCAGAAATGGTTGTCTTCTGACTAGCAAATTTAGATTTCTTGAAGGAAACGAAGTCCTTGAAATGGAAAATAATAATAATAGCCTGCTGCACAATCCTTTGCATTTTGGCTTTCTGTCCTGAGATACAATTGGTCTCTAGAAAGAATTCTGTAACAATATTTCGGAATTATAATTCTATCTCTTCAGTGTGACAGCTGTCTGGCCATCAACCCAGTTTAGAGCATAGCATGACTGCCTCATTCCTACATACATTCTTGGGTGTTAAGACTACTATCACCCTCAGAGGATGAGGGAAGGAGTAATCCAGGGGAGGGCATTTTCTGTGACAGCCCCTAAATTGTGGAATTCCTTCCCCACAGGTGAGCATCTGGCACCTTTAATGTACACTCAGGTCCCACTTATCAAACACATGCGTTCCAAGGAGATTGTTGATTAGGCGAGCATTTGCATAACAAGCTATTCCATTGCAAAGCTAGTGTCATAGTGGTGGGGACTGTGCTGTGTCCCTCCCTCCTTGGTGGGGTAATTGGTTTATTCCACCCTTTCCTCGCTTGGTGCCCTCTATATGTTTGGGGCTGTAACTTATCAGGCAGGTGTTGTCTAAAATGTCTGGAGGGCATCAGGGGAAAAGTCTGTAATATAGGCTGAAAACTGTTTCTCATGGTAGTTTAAAGAAATCTGAAGTGGTCTGGCTATCAGACAGATGAAAGATTGCTGCTGATAAGGTGCGACAACGAACAACCACTGCATGAAGAACCCAAGTGTTGCTATTTTTGAAATAATATGTTTATTAATTTTTGAGAATACAGTGTTGTGTTCTTGAGTTTTCTTTGCAGCTTGCAGTTGTAGGATTTATAACATGGAATGATTGGGGCATCTTTCAATATGAACTGTGAACAGTTTATGTTTCTGTAGTTCTTACGTAAGTAGGATTACAAATTTAGATCTGAGTCCAAAGGACAAAACGGTTCTGATAGAAAAGCGCAGAGAAATCATTTGGCAGAAAACCCATAAAGAAAAAGTAGATTAAAATGTATTTTCATCAGTATTTCTCAGACAGTAAGCGACTTGTACAAAGTAGTTGCTTTTACCCATTTGTTTTTAGCTAATAGTTGTGTTGAACTAGGAAGTCCTACTTTGGGCATTCTGTCTTTTCAGCCCCAGCCACCTTATCCCATCTACAACATGGATAGGTAATAATGACCTGTCTTACAGTGTCATTGTAAGAAGAGGGATCCATTGTAAGAAAAGAGGGATCCATCCTCCTGTGCTGAGAATGGGCTGATGGGTTGTCTTCAATCATGCTGCCTTTTCTAAAGTTTTCTAAAAGCATAAGCAACTGTGGGGTACTGAGCCTTTCATAATTCACTCACTTTAATAATTATTTGTGCTTATGGGACTGAGAAATGTTAAGGAGTGGCAACTAAAGTGCCTGGAAGGCTGCTGTATTCCTCATGGGTTTCCCCCCCCCCAGTTGTAGAATCAGGATCTGCACCCTGTGGGATACTTAATGGTGGCATGCCTGCCAATTTCAACCTGAATTAAAGTTTGCCTTTTAAGATTAAGAAATGGCTTTAAACGTAACAATGAAATTAACTACAATTCCTGCAGTATCTTTCATGTATTGCTTGCTGTACTGTTTGTTGTTGCTGTTGTGCAGTGACATACTCCATAGTTAAGATTGCAAAATCATACCTTACATAATGAATCTTAGATGCATTGGCATTCAGGAATCCAGCTGTGCAACATACCTCAGACCTCTCAGTGGTGATTACAAATGGCACAGTGTAATTTACAAGCAAATCCTTTTTGAAACTACATGCTTCAAACGTGACTTCTGATCTTGCACTTGGATAGAAGAATGAGGCAGAACGAGATTTTTATTCTAGTGCAGCCTGCATAAATAAACTGAATCTTTAAACCACTGTGTTGAAATGAATGTAGGTACTTGGATCAGTTCAAACAGTTCCAAGTGAATGTCTCTTGCAACATTGTTTGTAGATTGCTTAGTTTTTTATGTCATTAACCTGTATTTCTGTTTGAACAAGAAGTGCTTTAAAGAAAATTTGACCTTATTGGATACTTTATCTGTATTGATAAGCATAATATGGTGCATATTGCAACATGCTGATTAGATAACAAGTTTGGCTTTGAACCTAAAGTTACCTGAATTCATCCTGAATTCCTAGTGCCCTTGGAGCACTATATTTTAAGGGTTATAATTTAAATACACAAATGTTAAGTGCCGTGTCTTGTTCCTTGATACCTGTATCGTCTAACTCTTCTCATCCAGCTTTAAACAAATTCTGTGCTGACTTATTAGGAAATGTGATTTCTCTTTAAAGGCATTTTTTGATGTGGCCAGTTTTTATTTTTTATTTAACAAAATTTATATACAGGCGACTTCCCATTTACGCGGGGGTTACGTTCTGAACCCCTGCACGTATCAGTGAAATTGCGTGAAATTAAGAGCTGCCTGTCAGCTCAACAAAGCTCTGCTGTTGCACACAGAAGAAGATTTCCCACACATCATTTGAGCTGGTCAAGGAAGCCTCTGCTGTCCCTCTGACTCACCAGGAGACTCTCCCTGGAGCCTAAAGAGGATGTCCACTTCAGACTCTGGGGAGGGTCTACTTGCCAGCTGGTGGAGCAGTGGGGCTTTGCTGAGGCTCATCAGGTCTCTCCCCACAAATAGAAGAAGACACCTTCACCCCAGTATGGCTCCCCTTTATCACATACACAGCCCAACAAGACAACGACAAAAATCCACCAACAGCATACAAATCAATATGGCTAACCTGATCCAAAACACCCACCCACCCCACTCGCATGAAAACAAAGACCACCACAGCCAACCACAAATGAACAACCACACCCTAGGCCAACCCCAACCTCTCTCACCACCAAAGGAACACAAGCGAACAACAAAAAACCTGCACAAGCAACGCTGACACCAAACCCTACATATAGTAATTAAAATAGAAACATCGTCACCCGACCCCACCCCCACCCATCTTTTCCCCCCTCTTCACCTCTTTCCCCCTTTCCCCCTTTTCTTCCTAATGCCTCAACAAATGAAACTGATTTGTAAAAATGTTACATGGTGGGGGGGGGGGATACGAGAGAGACATTGCAAACACTTTTGTAAATCAAGAAACTCTTTAATAAAAAAATAATATAAAAAAATCAGATCTCTCCCCCCACTTCTGTGTCTCTGGGGCTACATGTGAACTAAATGATGGTGGGTGGGTAGGTTTTTTAAAATTAAAAAAAATAATCCTCTAAGTACCTTGCAGTTATAATAATAGTTAAAAACAGGTATTAAAAATAATCAAAAAATATTCATAAGAAACAGGAGCTTGCCCTGTTCTCTGTAAAAAGGTCATGCCTCAGGGCAACCAAGGGAGACGAATTCCAATGGCCGGGCCTTAGCCAGACTAGAACACGTCTAACTAATATGTGTCATCCAGGAATAGTTGGAGCTGCCCCAGCTCTCAGCAACTGCAAATTTAAATTATTCTTGTATCCCACCTTTCCTCTAGTTAGGAGCACAGGGCAGTCAGCAACACAAAATTAAACAAGTGTGCAAGAATAAAATCACCAGGACCATTCGATCATAAAAGCACATTAAAATAAGCAGTAACATTATGTGCTGTAGTTTTAGCCCTGGTTCCCTGCATGCGAGTAATTGTAGGGTAGACTCGAGAACAGTTGTCAGCATTCTCCGACTGTGGGCCAGGGGCCACCAGTGGGCCTCAAGACCACAGTATCCTGTGGTTGGACAGATGCTAACAGCAGCTGCTCTCTGCATGCACAGTGCATACATAGGAATGGTTGTTGCTTAAGGAGCGAGGCTGCAGCAATGCAGCATGCAATTTAGGAAAAAAGAAGTGAATGGTGTGGCTGGGGGTGAGAGTGGAGGAAAAAACTATGGAAGGTGGTGGTGGGGAGTACTTGCTCACAGTAGTTCAGAACTCTTTGTAGACAAGGTCCCCAGTCAGACAGGGGTGGGATGATGTAATGCGTGGAAGTTGTGCTGGGCTGGGATCCTGTCTACAAAGAGTCCTGCAATGAGCATGGGATTTGCTTAAAAAAAGGAAAGTGTACAAAATTACAAAAGAGCCCCCAACATTTGTTTAGTTTCTATGGTGTAGAAAAGTGCTGTGTATATATATGCCTGTTGGTATATGTTTAGTGCTTCGAAATAAAGTTATTTGATTCAATATAACTTCAGTATTCCTAAATATGTATTTTATTACATGTGTGCTTCTTTTGCAGGATGATTTTACAGAAGGAAGGCCCTCGCTCACTTTTCCGGGGATTGGGTCCTAATTTGGTAGGCGTGGCTCCATCCAGGTAAAATGAACAAATGTTATCATAGCTTATTTAGGATTAGGTGATGGGCAGAGTTTTCCAAAGTAATTATGTTATCACACAAATAAATCTTCTAATACTTTTCCTTCTTTTGAAGCCACTGGGCAACATTTTTGTGGGGTCAGCAAATGATTTGTCTCCAGATTTTGCTGGGGGAGGCGATTCCTGCCATTTCCTTCCCCACCAGCCTCCAGGCAATATGTTTATTGGACCAACAACATTTTCACAAAATAAGCATGCTTTTTGAGTTGAAACTTGCACCATGGTTGTCAAATGTATTTTTTTTTTTTTATGATCAATTTTAACTTTGTGGTGTTGTTCCCCCAAAGCATAAAGGGTATTATATACCATTTTTGCCAAAGAAAGACCGGCAGAGCAATGTTAACATTGGGCTTGGAGGACCAGTGCATCAAATTTGCATTCAAAACCCTGTGAGTTTGCACTGACCAGAAGCAGAAGTGCAGGGCAGTGCTTCCTTCCATATTGCTATGCCTGTGCTGGTGGCTGAGTGACCTGAGTTCTGGGTCCATTGGAGGATCCATGGGGATTTGAATCCAAAGCCACTAGTGCTTGTCACCTGAATCTCCCCATTTCAGGGCTTTCCACTTACTATCACCAGTGATAGCTTCCCACATGTTAGGCTGCAGCTGTGATCTCTGCCATGGTGAAGCCCATCACCACTCTTCCTCCTCTGCTGGTGGAGGCCAGCAGAGCAGCACCTAGTTGGCATCCTACCCCCCACTTCTCCCCAGCAGTCAGCAATACAGAGCTAGGATTACACTGTGAAACTGATGTGATTTCATTTGGAGGTCGACAACAAGTCCTAGAGGTTTTCTGTTTTTTATGCTGTACAAAATACTCAAGTGAAACAGAAGAATAGACTTAATGCAGATAATTTGTTGCTTTGTTTCTGTAGAAGACAATAAATGTATGGAATGAGCGATGGAAAAAAATCATTAGATTGTAATGTCAAAAGTGGTGGAGGCATATGCCAAGAAACAGCTGCTCTGTGCATGAGTCACAGTGGCTGCATGCCCAGTTTTGGATGCGCACTAAGACGCAGTGATCTGTTTCCTCTGAATTCACTCCAGCCACCTTTTGTACGAAATAAAGATTTGATTCTGGCAGATCCAACTTTCAGCCCACTCTCACTTGGTTGCTGGGAAGCACTTTAGACGTCATGGATGTATTCAGACATGATATTATTATTATAGGTAGTTTTTTTGCTTTGTGTGCAACATTTTGCTTTTGCAGTACTGTATCATTTCCATTTTGGATATTGCTCTTCTTAAAAGTTTCCATAATGCTAAATATTGTTTGCTTTTGTTCTGCTGTAAGCTGTTGCCACGTAGGCAAGTAATTGTAGTTGTTTGGTAAGCAGAGGGAAGAAGGACCATTTGTATATTCTTAAAACAAAGTGTAGATTACAATAGTGGGCTAATACAGCAGTCCCAGGCATCTTGTGTAAAAAAATCACTGTGGCTGATTTAATGGAATTGTGTCTACAAAATAACACTGTAAAAACTTTTTTTTGTCTTGTTCCTCATTCAGAAATCGCAGCTGTATCGGATTCCTTCACAGCCATTCTCTTTGCTTCTTAATATTAAAACCCTGACTTTAGGGTTGGAATTCAGCCAAAGTTAATTTCTGGCTGGTTAGTGCTTCATATAAATCACATTTATTGTGCAAAATAACAGACAATACAAACCACAGCAATATAAAAATGAAATAGGTTTCTGTCTTGATGATAGATCCTAGTTTTGCAACCTCCACTCCTTACTAAAAGTTTCTGCTGAAATAGCATTTTTCTTCTGACCTAGCCCTTTTCTATTTCATAAATATTTGGGAGTGCTGTTGTGCACAGTATTTTTTAATGTTGTGGTCCATAAATTTGTGTCTGTAATGTGAGTCCAGCATTAGAGCTGGAAGAGGCTTGAAGGTGAACGCTTCATTTTTCCTCACCCACCAGATGCTTTCCTTTTAAACTTGTCAATAAGAGATTATTCTGTAGAAGCCATCTTGCATTAATTTGCCAGGAAAGTGGGCAAAAATAAGGTGCATCACATAAGATGAGACTAGTATTCTAATAATCTTAAATACAATAGTTTGGTGTATAGCTCCTTAAGCCATAGAAAGGTGCAGGCAGTCTTGTGTATTTTGTGTCTCAGATTAGCCTCAGGAAATAACCTGTTTCTCTCTCTTTCTCATTAAAATGTGGCTATGGACTTTACCCAATTTTCATGCTAGGCTTGCCCATTTGCTAATGTATTCTCAGGCTTATGAATGAACATAGCACACTTTTTCCAGTCATCAACCATAGACAAATACTTTTTTGTTTCATTTAAACATCCACTAAGTAGCTTTAACAGCTTCTCTCTGTTTGAATAAGCTTGTTTCTTAACATGTATAGCATACACCATTGATTATGGATTCCATTTTGTTCATTACATCACGTAAAACAACCACTTTATCAGGTCCTTGTGAAAGGCCACATGTTTGAGGAGCTAATGATGTTAACTTAATGTTCTGTTTCATGAAGACTTAGAGGCTGTTCATATAGCAACCTCAGCTATATGAGATTGTATGTGGGGTTTTTTTTTTAATAACATGCAAAATGTTACTACCATTCAAAGGTCAATGTACATCAGTTAAATTTTAGAGTATTACAGAAGTATTCCTTTGTGTGTGCTTAATTACTATTTGTAGATTAAATATGTTTTAAGGGACTTAGGTAATATAGAATAGCACAAATTTGAAACAAAGCTGTTAAAATAATATATATAATAAAAGATTGTAGAAAATTCTCTCCTGCCCCCTTGTGGCAAGATTATCTATGTTGCAAAAAGTTGATTATATGATTTATTTATTTTTGCAACAAATATGTATTTACTAGGGTAGTTTGTTATCTGCTTTAAACATTTAAAACTAAATATATATACTTGCCTATCAGGCACTTTAAAATATCTCAACATGAAAATGAAGTGAAGCGCTAGTTTTTGTGCTGGATCTAAATAGCTTCTTCAGAAAATGGCTTGCAGCGGTTCTCAACCTGTGGGTCCCCAGATGTTGTTGGACTACAACTCCCATCATCCCTGATCTCTGGCCTTGCTAGCTAGGGGTGATGGTAGTTGTAGTTCAACAACATCTGGGGACCCACAGGTTGAGAAAGGAAGGGCTTGGGAGTGCTCTGTGTCAATTTTAAGTCCCTTTGTAAAAAAGTGGACCACTTTTTAAAAAACGCTGGATTTTTTAAAAATCCTAGCTCAAGTGTTAAAGAACTTTTTACTACTTAGTTCTAATTAGTTAATTAATTAAATTTGTATACGGGCCTTCATCTGAAGATCACAGGGTGGTTCACAAAATAAAAATACAAAATTGTATTCACCAGCTGTGTTAGCAAGTATACTGTGTGCTCCTACTACATGTAGCTGTTGCCTGGTCAACTTTCTTTGTCTTCAGTGACTCTGGAGAGAGAAATTGTGATAGTAGGTGATCCATAACGCTTTTGAACATCCAAAACATTTCATTGCTTGTGTTAACTTGCAGCTGTAAGCAAGCCCCCCTTCTGGGTGTCTATTGTTTTGTTTAGAAGAATATTTTTTCCCTATCTTGCAGCTATGTGTCTGCATTTCTAAATGCAGGGTTTCTCCGTCCTCCACCAGTCGCGGACTGTGGGCCGGGGGGAAGGGGTGGCATTATTAATCCGGGAAGATTGTCCTTTCAGGGCTCTACCATCACCATCGATCCCCGGCATTGAATATGTTGGCCTAGTGTGGGGCTCCGAGGAGAGCTTGGCTGTCTGGCTGGTGTGCTGGCCACCTAGCGCACCAGCAGCCACCCTGTCAGGCCTATTGGAGGCAGTGGCCGGCTGGGCCTTGGAGTTCCCTAACCTATTGGTATTGGGGGACTTCAACATCCATGATGATGCCACTCCCTCCTCACAGGCTCTGGACCTGGTGTCTTCCATGGCGACACTAGGGCTCTCCCAGTTTGTTTTGGGCCCCACACATCAAGCAGGCCACACGCTGGATTTGATCTTTGGCGTAGGTATGAAGGTGCCATGGTCTGATCACTACGCTCTGAAAGCCAGGATTGACTTTCCACCCCCACCCTGCTTAGGTGGCGAGCCGATTTGGGCTCGCCTGCAGAGGCTGATGGACCCTGATAGATTCTGCCAAGCTTTGCGGGACCTTGCTCCCCCTGGCGAGTCATTGACTGAGCTTGTTGAGGGCTGGAATACCCAGCTCCTGGCAGCCATCGATGAGATTGCACCTAAGCGCCCTCTGCGACCCCGCAGAAACCGGGCTCCCTGGTTTACTGAGGAGCTCCGGAAAATGAAACGGGACCTCAGACGGCTAGAGCGAGTATGGCGGGGTGCCCGTGAAGGAGCCTCAAGAACATCTTATAGGGCTTTTATGAAAACCTACGAGATGGCGGTGAAGGCTGCTAAGCAGTCTTACTTCTCGGCCTCCATTGCATCCGCTAGCTCTCGCCCAGCACAATTATTTAGTATAATTAGGTCTTTAACGTCCCTTGAGGGACAGCCAAATTTAAATAACAATTTGACACACAGCTGTGAGGCATTTGCGAGCTTTTTTGCGGAGAAGGTCTTGTTTCTCCGCCATGACCTCCCTGCCAATTTGGATACAATAAAGGAACTGGAGGCCCCTCGACTGTCCTCGGGTCCAGTATTGGACCACTTCGACCGGATATCCCCAGCCAATGTGGACAGACTCCTCTGAGCTGGAAAGCCCACCACCTGTCCTCTCAACCCGTACCCATCTTGGCTGATTAGAGCGTGTCCAGACGAGGTGCGAACCCTCCTGGGGGATATCAATTTGTCCCTTGGCACGGGGACATTCCCAGGGGAACTGAAGGAGGCAGTGGTGCGCCCGCTCTTAAATAAAACATCATTAGATCCTTTAGATCTATCCAATTACCGCCCGGTTTTGAATCTTTCGTTCCTGGGTAAGGTGATTGAGAGAGCGGTTGCTGAACAGCTTGGTGGGTTTCTGAATGAAACATCGGCTCTGGATCCATTCCAGTCTGGCTTCCGCGCTGGTCATGGGACCGAGACGGCTCTGGTTGCCCTAACAGATGATCTTCGTAGACAGCTGGATCGAGGTGGGTCGGGGCTGCTGATTCTTCTAGATCTGTCAGCAGCTTTCGACATGGTCGATCACGAACCTCTGGACCACCGCCTTGCCGACGTGGGGGGCTGTGCTCGTTTCTCTCTGGTCGGGGACAGAGGGTGGCGCTTGGGGGGGAATTGTCATCGTGCCACTCCTTGGTGTGTGGAGTACCTCAGGGTTCGATACTCTCCCCGATGCTTTTCAACATCTTTATGCGCCCCCTCGCCCAGCTTGTTCGGAGTTTTTGGCTGGGTTGCCATCAGTATGCCGATGACACCCAACTCTATCTGTTGATGGATGGCCATCCTGACTCGGCCCCAGACACACTGACCAGATGTTTGGAAGCTGTGGCTGGATGGTTACGTGGGAGCTGGTTGAAGCTAAATCCTTCGAAGACAGAGGTCCTGTGGCTGGAACGGGACGATATGGGATTGGGGGGGGCAACTCGCATCTCTTGTGGGGGTGCAATTAGTCCCAGCACCGTCTGTTAAGAGTTTGGGTGTAATCTTCTACACCTCCTTTTCCATGGAGGTGCAGATTGCAGCTATAACAAAGGCGGCATTTTTCCATCTCCGCCAAGCTAAGCAGTTGGCTCCTTACCTCTCTCGCCCTGACCTAGCCACTGTGATCCACGCGACGGTCACCTCCAGACTGGATTATTGTAACTCGCTCTACGTGGGGCTGCCCTTGAGACTGACCCAGAAACTCCAGCGGGTGCAGAATGCTGCAGCGAGACTCCTTACGGGGTGTTCGCTGCGAGATCACATTCACCTGGTGCTATACCAGCTGCACTGGCTCCCGGTGGAGTACAGGATCAGGTTTAAGGTGCTGGTTTTAACCTTTAAAGCCCTATACGGCCTAGGACCCTCGTACCTACGGGACCGCCTCTCCTGGTATGCCTCACAGAGAAAATTACGGTCTTCAAATAAAAACATCTTGAAGGTCCCAGGCCACAGAGAAGTTAGGCTGGCCTCAACTAGAGCCAGGGCTTTTTCGGCTGTGGCTCCGATCTGGTGGAACACTCTGTCACAAGAGACCAGGGCCCTGCGGGACTTGACATCTTTCCGCAGCGCCTGCAAGACAGAGCTGTTCCACCAGGCCTTTGGCCAGGGCACAGCCTGACTCCCTCCCTCGGCAATCTTCGTGGAGCTCTGGCCCAATGGTTGCCAGTGGCTTGAATTAATTAATTTTATAATGAATGATTTTAGAGTGCTGTTTATGCTGTACTTTTGTACTGTTTTATTGTTGTTAGCCGCCCTGAGCCCGGCTTCGGCTGGGGAGGGCGGGAAATAAATAAAATTTATTATTATTATTATATTATTAAATCTCTTTTCTTTTTTGTAAATATAAAACTGTATTGAAATGATTTCATAATACAGTGGTACCTTGGTTGTCAAACTTAATCCATTCCAGGAGTCCGTTCGACTTCTGGAACCGTTCACAAACCAAGGCACGGCTTCCGATTGGCTGCAGGAGCTTCCTGCAATCAAGCGGAAGCTGCGTCAGATATTCGGCTTCCAAAGAACGTTGAAAAACGGAAGACTTACTTTGGGTTTTCTGCGTTTGGGAGCCAAAACGTACGAGTACCAACGCGTTCGAGAACCAAGGTACGAATGTATGGCAGCATCTCAATACAGTGGTACCTCTGGTTACAAACGCTTCAGGTTATGAGCCCCGCTAACCCAGAAGTAGCTGCTCCTGGTTGCAAACTTTTGCCACAGGATGCGAACGGAAATCACATGCAGCAGGAGGCCCCATTAGCGAAAGCGCGCCTCAAGATAAGAGCGGTTTCAGCTTAAGAACGGACCTCCGGAACGAATTAAGTTCGTAACCAGAGGCACCACTGTATTGCTCTTGCTTGGTGCTCTTGAAGAATCCAACAGAGGGTGAAACATACCAACTTGTCACAGTTCAGACCTCGCCATTTTGTAAGTCAGAACTTTTTAGGTCTGAGGGAAGGTGGTCATTGTCTTGTGATTACAGTACTATTCTAAATGGTGTATTGTTTCCACCCCACCCACCCCTTAACAGCAGGTTCTAGTAATTCCTATGATGCAGATCTAAGAGGAATTGGAAGTTCAGAGTGTGGTGGGGTCTTTCTGCAGAACATCTGAAAGAACTAGCACTGCTTCCTTTTATTGCTTTCAATGGTACATTTATATTTCAATGGAGAAAGAGACCTATCTGCTTGGCATGCACTTCCATGCAACTATCATCACTGTTACTAGTTTTACTACAAAGCTATATTGTATTGATCCTATTTAACTTGTTTTCCTTTCAGAGCAATATATTTTGCCGCATACTCCAATTGCAAGGAAATGCTGAATAATATATTTGAGCCAGAATCTACCAAGGTACACATGACCTCAGCTGGAGTAGCAGGTAAGGATCTGTAACTTTGTGCTTTAATTATGTGGAAGGCCTTTTAGTGTTAGCGTGGCTATGGTGAATGGGGAACTGCAGAAATACAGGAAATGGTTGGTTCGGGGTATAGCGGCAGAATGGCTGAGCAGACTATCTTCTGGTCTTAAATGCTACGTATGAAAGTTTATGGCTTGAGAATGAATAGAGAATTTATGGTATATGAACAGACTTGCTTGCTGTCATTCCAGATAGCTAAGTCATGTGGACTTAATTTCAGATTTGCTAAGCAAATTTTATAGGAACTAAAGAAGCCAGCAATGAGACTTCTCCTTGCCCCTTCATTTTATTTTGAAACTCCTTCCTGTGTTAAGACAACTGCTCTGACTTTCTGTAATAATATACCAGCAGATTTTGGTCACCCTCCTATGCTTGAAATATTTAAAATTTGCTGCAGTATTAGGTAATCTGGTCGTCCCCCCCCCCCCCTTTGATAAGGCAATAGAAAGCCAGTAAATATGTTTTTCCTGTTTTGGAGGTGAATAAGCCTCTTGGGGAAAGAGAGAAATAAAAATGCAATCCAGCACAATTCTTTGCAGTACTGCTGACTTCATGAGCTTTACTCCAGAGTCATTGTGCATGGTTTTACAGCCTGTGGGTGCAATGCCATACCCTTTTCCCCAAAAGTAGCCCCACCTGAACCAGGGGGATTTACTGAATGTTTCAGTTCATGGCTTAAATGTAGATCTTTTTGTGTACTTCCTCTAACATAACAGCCATGATGTGTTTTGTAGAGTTTTTTATTTCTGTTTCTTTAAAAGAGAAGAATGAGGCTAAAGTGGGACATAATAGTTCTTAATACTCTATGACACTTGCAGGGAATATGATAGCTTCTGCTGTGAATCTTCTCTATATAGCATACAAATATTTTTAGAAATTTTAAGAGTGGCTCACAAATAGTTCTGATGAAAGAAAATTATAATGGCCCAATAATTCAACCGACCCTGTAGCATAGGGTTTCTCCCCAGGTGGGCACTGTGGCCCAAATGTTCTTTTTTAAAAACTTAAAAACGTTAGATCTAAGAAATGAATAGAAAAGAAAACTGTGTTAAGATAATTGTCTGGCATGCTTAGAACTGTACTTCTAATATAGTTTATCTCTTTTTACACTCCACCGAAGGAATCCATGGGGAATGAAATGGGTTTGGTGGGAGAGGGATAACTGTGTGATTGGCTATTCTTTTGAAACTGCACCTCAATTAATTGCTTCAGAGGCTTTGTTAATATGAAAGATTATTCTGTTACCTGTGTTTTTTTTTCCTCCAGAGAAATTTCTAAAGAAATATTATTTCTCTTGACAAAAGAGCAGAGCAGAAGATAAGAAAATGGATTAGTAATCTTAAGATTATTTTTTAGTTTATGCAATGTATATTGCACACAAAAGATTATTCAGAACTAACTTTTAAAGGTTCCTTATCTGTTTTTCGTAAGAGATGTGCATCTTTGCCCAGTTAAATAAATGTGAAAATCTGATTTGTTGGCAGGTTTCATATCTACATACATGTCCAGTAATAATTTCTGTATTGGTATTTGAATTTTTGCTATTTAAACCCTGGGTTTACGAAACTTAAATTTTGAATCTCTTGAGACATTTCGATTTTTCTGTTTGTCATTTCAAGACCTGTACATATTTTATTCTGCTTTTAAAATGCGAAGCTGCCTCTTTTGCACTTCTGTGGCTTTGATCTTACCACTTGAAATTATTTTGCTCTTGTGCTCATGCAATACTGACGGAGCATTAACGTTCAGCTTTGCAGTTATGCACCTAAACCACATGGTTGGTGAAAGAATGTCCCATGCAGATTGGCTCGGAAGGTAGCTATTTTTTTCCTCTTGAACTAGCATAGCTTTAGGATGCTAGAAATCCCATAGACTCCATTTTAAAACCTCCGCTAAAGATGCATAAAATACTGATTCATAGTGTTGGCTGTGTAGCCATATAACTAATATAAAGGGCCGTTAACATAGCTTATGAGAAAAAATGCTAACCTTGTCACTTTTCTAATTGCTTCTTAAAACTTTCATTGAGCGCACTACATTATGCTATTAACAATTGTTCCCACAAGGTCTATTTTGGCTTAAAATTCAAAGTTGCTTGAACAATTAAGAAGTATGAGGCTTTTTTATGTCTTGGCTTCTCAAAAAAAAATTATTTTATTGAAACCTTGTTTATAGATGTTTTTATTGCTTTCATATCACTAGCAATTGTAAATATATATACCATTTGATTTGAGTCACTTGACACCAAAACAGTCTCAAAACTACACACTCAAAATATTGCTATACTCTGTTTCGGTTGTGAACTATTTTTTAAATTAGCTTTTATTTGAAACCTTGTAGACAGTATTCCTTTTTAAATTTCTAAAAATACAACAATCTTTCAAGTCTGAAATGTTTAAAATTCATGCTATTCTGTACCTAGTCTTTATTGTACTTTTACTGTCTAACGAAGGAGAAGCATTTTTGTCAGACATTTTTTCACAACCCTTATTGGAGTTGCTTATCATCCTTCATTCTGGAATGTATTCGGGGTTAAGTTAGACAAGTATACAGGGCCACTTGCATTCAGCGATAGAATTGCTGCAGAACCCAGGGGATCCTTAGCCAGCCAGACTGCCATCATGCTCCCATTCCACCCTCAATATGTTGCCTAATGAGTTCAGTCAACAAAATGCCTTATTTTTTAAGCTCCATTTGCTTTGCTGAATAGAAATAGCAAAAATAAACTGTAGTCTAAGAATGTAAAGAAAGCCTAATTGGATTTTTCCCCCTCTGCAAACTATACTTGAACAGGGAAATTAACAGAACTCCTCAAAGATATTTAGTTGCCTCAGTTACAAAAAAAGCTAGCTCCAAAATGAGTCTATCATCTCAGTCTAAAGCCTTGCATACATTCCAGTGTGCATACAGAATGTCAGGAAGCTAGCCAGCAATAAATCACAAGGAGTACGTGAAGTTAACTATTAGCAGAAACAAAGCCTGCTCAGAGGAACCAGGTCTAATTAGCACAGCAACTCTTCCTGGTAAATCTTGTCCCTATGAGGCAGTTGTGGGGACTGAAGATCCCCACCTTTCCGTAGCTGGTTAAGTCTCCTCCTTTCACGAATCCTTCTGAAGCAATCTGAGACTCCACCGACATGTCTGTCTCTGCTCTTCCCTCTTCATACCACTTTGGGTCCTGTGAGACTAGGGGGAAGGGAGCTTGTCACAGCAGGAGGGGAGACACCCTGGCTTCTTCACCAGTCTGACTCATCTCTGTCCCTTGGTCTCCATCTGCTCCTGCTTCAGATTCTGGACTTCTCTCTGCTAGACTTCCTGCTCACTAAACCCTGTTACCTCTTCAGCTTCCAACAGCACCTTCTCCTAGTCTTCACTCTCTTCTCCCTCTGACCACTCATCATCGTCCCACCTGGGCTCTGAGATGCCTTCTTCCTGGTGCCTCCCACCATTCCACTGTGTCCAGCCAATCCATGACACAGAGTTACATGATTCAGTTTAGTATAATATACCCTCTTGAATGTGCGGAAGCTGGGCATTTCATTCTACCTTGTCCTTTGAGGAGGTGGTGCGGTGAGGTAGTGAATTGTGAATTTCAGAGTTTCTCACGTAATGGAGCGCAATGCTACTTTGGGTTAAAGAGCAGTGACACTTTCTTTTGTGATTTTGTTGACACTATACACCCAACTGTTTGATGGAACAGTTGGAAGCTGTTGTGTTCTAAGGAGCATTCCTATTCCATCAACTACAACATGCTCTGTAATCTTTGATAACTTCAGGGCCTTTACTATTAAGTCATTTGCTGTTTTCATAGAACCAACTGATAGACAAAGTTTAAAAAGTTGTATGGAAGATGTTTTGTCAAGTTACGCTTAGTCCGGCTTTCCGTTATAGCCCATTTTGAGCGAAAGAGGGAAGAAAATGGCTTAATTGAATTATATGATCTGTTCTAATTTTGTCTGTCTTCCCCTTGCTTTATACTTCCCAAAGACTCAAAATTAGCTTAATCTATAACTTCAAACATTTGTAAAATAGGTACAAGTTATTCAGTTCAGGCATGTCTCAAATTTTAAATTAAACTGGTTTCAACCTGACATTAAGGCTAGTTTTTTCTGCCCATTGTGACAAGGTTAGCATTTTTATTTGACATGCGCACATACACACCCAGCACTTTGGGCTTTTAAAAAGAAGTATAGGTAAGTATTTTGCAAGCTATTAAATGGTTAAACTGCTGCAGATGGCAGAAATTTCAGTACTCAGTGCATTTTGAAAAACTTTTTTAAAAAAATACCTGTGGCCTGTACTACCTTTTTTCCTTTTTTATTGTTCTAAACTTTTTTAAAAAGTTAGATCTCACATTTACTAATTCACAAATCCTTCCATTGGGATTCAGTTTTGTCACATATGTCTGATGAGGTCACTGCTTGTTGTTATGATACAGAAAAGCCTGTGTCTATTTTAGGCATTTACTGTACATTTCTCCCGTGAAAAGAGTGAGATCGTGTCATCTCATGCTCCCCATCCGCAGGTCACTTCCTGCAGAAATATGGACTAACTTAAACCTCGTGAGTACTGAACTGAGCGTCTCTTGCAGCCTCTAGCGTAAGAACCACACCTTGGGTTTGTAACCACTCTTAAACAAACATTGTAAGGGGAATATTTTTATTTGAATTCCAGTTGTATACATTGTTTTAATACATCACCCAGCTATTCCTTCCAGTGCAGCCTGGGGAAAGGTGGAAAAACAGTTTTATGGACTACTGTTGTGTGTTTAGCCAAGTTGGTGAAATTACATTCCTTATTGACAATTCGTAGGATTCCTACCTTTAATTTATATATTTCTATTTTATTTAGGCAAAGTATTTCAGAACTGCCCTTAAATAATAGTACAGTTAACTGTATGTGTCACCACACTCTTTCCTTTCTATTTAAATTTTGTTGGCATAATATGTATTCACATGCATTTATCAATACATTATCCCTTGCAAACAAAGACAATGCAGATGCATACCTGGGATCTTAGCTGTTTTATTTTTAAGCTTGTTTTGCTCCAAAAATCCTGAGAGAGAGAGAGCGCTCCTTCTTTGGTTAGAGGTTCACATGAATTGCTTTTAGAAATAAACAGCAAACTGAAATAAGGCCTATAATTCCCATTGCGTACTAGGACTTCTGAGTAACATATAAATATATACATAGGATTGCATTGAGCAACTTTTTCTTTTGTTTCATTTTGTTTTAATGGAGCCAAATAAATGGCCTTAAATATTTTGCATTGAATTCCAGTATTTAAAGATAATAATTAACTGAAACATTATGCGTTTACACAAACTAAAGGGCTTCTTCCATTCACATAAGGGACTCTGATCCAATGGAGGCTCCTACTGGAGGATGGAGAGTGGGAGAAGGTAATTTTTGCTGATTCCCCACCTCCTAGCACCACTCCCATTCTGTTCGGGTAGTTTCCTACCCTCTGGAGCAGATATTCAGGGAAAAGAAGGAATTGGCAAAAAAAACCACTTCACTTTCCTCTGATCATGGAAAATTTGGATCCAGCCCTATAGATATGCAGCTGGATCAAAGCTGAAGTCATATGTAGTCACTGTTCAAATGCATTTTGGTATGAGACATTCCTATGAGCAGCATTTGAACCCTCATAATACCTTCTAAAATTTAGCCAAGTTTTAAACGTGATCTGATGGATTGATTCAGCAACTGCCAAAAGAGTAATCCCTCTTTTGTAGCATGTGCATTTGAATTTGTGAACTTTCCCTCCAGCAGTTTTTTGTGTCTTCTGAGTATTATTTCCTCAGTTGGAACAAGGGACATAAACATTGTCCAACATATGCAGTGTCTTGATTCTCTTCCTTTTTAGGCTTGTATAGGTTCCAAAGATGCTAAGTATAAACATGTTTGCTTGCATTTATACCCAGGAATTGAAGTTGGGTTCATGGAATGTTGTACCCAGTCTCTTCTCTGCTTCTATTCCCCTTTAGATTACCAATTAGATTACCAATTAGAAATACATTAAGGCTACAGACCTTTACACACTTACCTGGAAGTTAGCCGCCTTGTACTCAGTGGAGCTTGCTTCTTAGTAGACCTGTGTTTGCATGTGCTGTAAGCAGTAAACATCACTGGCAGACAGACCATTTAGTTAATTCTCCATAAAACCATTTCATAGTGATTAATTTAGGGCAGCTAGGGCACAGTTCCTTTTGTGTCCTGTGTTATATCCCGTATGCATGGGCAATGTTTAAACCAATTCTCCAGGTTTGTTGATTTGTTTGAACAAGTATGAAACCAAAAAAAACCTCCCACCATTAATGCACTTATGCAGTATTTCTGTGGCTAAAAGCCAAAGATGATACCTGTGTTTAGGAAGAACAATGACTTGGGGGATGCAAACATTAAAACAAGCTTAACATTAGCTAGGCATATTGCCATTTAGCCAGACAATATTATTTACCAGTTCTGCTTCTGTGCAAGTAATTAAAGTGTGCTTTTTGTGACATGAAGTAAGAGAAAGTTTTGTAACGTTAACTAAACCTTAAAACAGTTAAGATCCTTTGGCAGTTCTTTTTTTAACCTTTTCAGTCACTTATGTGCAAGTTTTCCCCCCATGTGAATATCAATAGAGATTGTCCGGGGGGGGGGGGGGCAGGAAACTGGTTTGCAAACATTCCTTTTTGTGTAGTTCACTAGCAGGCTTTTCCATTCTATTTTGAAATGTGCATGGGAGATGCACTGCACAAGGTGCTCCTGAACACTCACTTCTGCAAGAGGAGAGCAGGATTTGCATGGTTAGAGGAATGATTTGCTTGTCATTCCAGTTGAATAAATAGTAATAAATTGGGTACTTTGAGCACAACAAATTCCCAACCTCCCTTCTACAGACATTTTACCTGATATGCAATGCATTTTATATTATAACTGTACAGTTCTCAAAAGCTGCCCTCCTGTACTGCTTTTCTATTCTTTATGGTAGTGTAGTGTAGGATGTTATTTACAAGTTGCAAAACAATCACACTATTGGCTGTTAATCCCGTTTAGATTTTGAGTAGCTGCTTTCCTTTCACAACTCATTTTTGTATGTTTGTACAAGTATTCCTGGGACCAACCAAAAATCCTTGCTTTTACTGCTAGTGGAACTCACTGGCACAATTAATACAACATCCTGCTAAATTATACTGTATAAACTATACTATGTTGATGTACAGTAATGTGTCTCTAAGCTGTACGACATTAAGTAGTTAACGTGTTTTTATGATCTGATTTGTTTTATAAATTAAATTTGCAGAGAACATTTTAGACTCTTCTGGCATGCTTTAGTTTCACTGCAGTTTGCTTTTGTTTGGAGTGCATTTAAATTCAGTTAGCCTAGTCTCACTCTGGCTGTTTGAAAGGTGTCAAAAAGGGATTTGTATGAATAAATGGGCACAAATTGGGTTCTAGATGTACTTACGGCTAGTTACTAAGAAGAATAAAGAGGCTTTATTTTACTTTATTGAAATCTTGCAAAAACAAATATTGGCTATGTGGACTGGAAAAAAACAATAAAATGTCAAGATGCCTACTTTTGGTTTTTAACCATTAGCATAGCACAAGTCAGTTTGTATCAACTTGTATCTTTATTCATGTTTTAGCTTTGCTGTTTTTCATTATGTTTGCAAAACTAATCTTTCTTTTTTAATATTTATTTAGGTTTCACTGCAATCACCGCAACCAATCCAATTTGGCTAATAAAGACACGATTACAACTTGATGCAAGGTATTGAACTCTTTTAAAAAATGTAAATATTGTCCCCAATGCTATTTGATATCTATATGCAGTTGCTGGGTGTGAGGTATCGTCAGTACCTCTTATGTTTTCTGTAACATCTGAATCAGTATAACCTGAAAACTGTTTCAGTAGATCTGGGTTAGTTTTAGATATCATTTCAGTATTCATATGAAAGATGTATGTTTTCTGTAGCTTGCAAGTAGAATCATGAAATGAAATAATGAAATGGGAAACCTTACAAATATGGTGAGTGGTGTCTGCATCTGGCAAAATATAATAAAGCTCTTCTGAGTGTTGAATTTCTCCCCCCTCTTTCAGGAATCGTGGAGAAAAACGGATGAGCGCTTTTGAATGTGTGCGCAGGGTTTATCAGACAGATGGAATTAAAGGCTTTTACCGAGGAATGTCTGCGAGCTATGCAGGCATATCAGAAACTGTTATTCACTTTGTTATTTATGAGAGTATTAAGCGAAGACTTTTGGAGTATAAGTCTGCTTCTGCTATGGATGAGGAAGATGAAACTGTCAAAGAAGCATCTGACTTTGTTGGCATGATGATGGCTGCAGCTACATCGAAAACTTGTGCTACATCCATAGCCTATCCACACGGTAAGGGAGGCTTTTCTTAAGCAACCAAATATATTTTTTCCCCGGTGCAAGAGATAAGTTACTTTTGTTTTGGTAAATATTTTGCTATTTTTAACAAAAGTTTCCCATTGCCTAACCCAATACATTCATCACATTTTGCCTTTGAGAACTGTGCACAAGTTTTAGTATATTAATACCCTTTTTTTCTTTTTAGATACTGCTCTATTGTCTAATAAGTTGCTTTTGAGTACTGTTTTGGCTACTACTACTACTACTGCTACTAATAATAATAATAATAAAAATAATTTTTATTTATACCCTGCCCTCCCCAGCCAAGACCGGGCTCAGGGCGGCTAACAACCAATAATAAAAACAAGTTGATTAAAATACAATTTAAAAGCAAGATTAAAATACAGCATTAAAACATTAAGATGCAGCCTCTTCATAGGAGGAGAAAGGAAAAAAAGAGGGGGAGGGAATCAAACTGATTCTAAGCCAAAGGCCGGGCGGAACAACTCTGTCTTACAGGCCCTGCGGAAAGAAATCAGATCCCGCAGGGCCCTGGTCTCATGAGACAGAGCGTTCCACCAGGCCGGAGCCAGTGTTGAAAAGGCCCTGGCTCTGGTTGAGGCTAATCTAACTTCCTTAGGGCCTGGGACCTCTAGGGTGTTGCTATTTATGGACCTTAAGGTCCTCCATGGGGCATACCAGGAGAGGCGGTCCCGTAGGTACGAGGGTCCTACAACAGATGAAATAAGAAATGCATTGTAGAAGTAGGCAAGTGTTGTAATCCTTCCAAGATTGTGGAAAGCTGTCATCAAGATAAAATGTTTTCTCCTTTTCTGATGCAGAGGTTGTACGAACAAGACTACGAGAAGAAGGAACAAAGTACAGGTCTTTTTTTCAGACACTGTCTTTGCTTGTGCGAGAAGAAGGCTATAACGCCCTATACCGTGGCCTAACAACGCATCTGATTAGACAGATTCCAAACACAGCTATAATGATGTCTACATATGAAGTGGTAGTCTACTTACTGAATGGATAGCAATATTACCAGCTGTGTTCAGGAAGATGGAAGACCAAAAGCTTGCAGTGGACCATGAACTCTCAGTGTGGGTAGGTAGGAGTAATATCTATCAAGAACATGCAGCTATGGACAAAATGGAAGGCTGGTAGGCAGTCATGCTGCCTCATCATATGGCATCTTTTGCAATGTGATGATCTGAAGCTTCTCCTAAAGGATTGCCTTTAAACTCCTCATATTTCAACATTGCAATTTTCTCCTATTGTGTCAACTTTTCTAACGCTATGCAGTGAGCATCAGACACTTGGTTGTGAGCAAGGAGGGACATAACAACATGTGTGTTCTCACTGGAAAGCGTACATCTCTTTTTCGACTCGTGTTCATTGCTGGTTTAAAATTCATTTTCTGTTACTGCACAGTAGCCAGTTTGAAGGGTATGCCTGTGTACATTTAAAGCAGATTCATAAATGCTTATCTCTTGAAACTCCACTTTTGCAGTCTGAAATAAAATGAAAGACGAAGATTCACTAAGCTTCCCACTTTACTACCTCAGGGGATCTGACAGGGAACTTAGGTTTCTTACTACAGAAAAGGTGGCCTTTATTTGTCGAGGTGAAGATGGGGGACAGGCTGTTTCGTTTTGTATTGAGTTCCAGTTGCTTTAATATCAGACCCTGGGATTTCTAGTGTTGCAGCGGTATACTGTTTTAATTGCCCTGAGTATTTTCTACCGTGGAAATAGAGAAGAGCCTTAAGATCCACCTGAAATCAAATCGTCCTGTCTTCAGTTTTGTACAATTTGTGTCCATAAATCCCTTTGAAACTTAAAACACCTCTAAATGTATTAAGGATCACAGCATTGTGGAGCAAACCACCAGCAAAGAGAACTTGGCTTGGTGTGTTGGAAGGGCTTTTCGCATGCTGCTTTTAAATCCTTGAAAACCAACAAACAGTATGTGATTAAACAGCAGGATATCGGGTGCTTATGCAGCATTGTGCTCGCTTTAAACAAACTTAAGTTCATCTAGGGCTTTTACCTGAACTAACCTAATACTGCAGTAACTAGAATACCAAACTCTACTAGATTTCAGTAACACATAGGGCACACTTCGGCCATGTCCAAAATTGAGTGCTAAGATTGTGGCTTAGAATGAACCAGAGAAGATAATTGAATACCTTGGGGTTTAGGCATCACCTTTTGCTTTATTCCTTGCTTCCTCCTGAAGCACTTTGCAGAAAACCACATAAGTGGTTTTTCCCAATATTTGGCTTTGAACATCTTAATGCTTCTTATACAGCATTCACTGCTACATTTTAAGAGCAGACATTTGCATGATTCACATTATCTCTGAAAAGCAACATCGCTAAAGCAGGCCATTCGAAATAATGCAGATAACCTGTTGGTTCTAACAATAAACACACCCTACATTTTTACCTTTTAGCATACATCCTGTCATTACAATGTAGCTGTGTTAAATGGTAATGACACCAGGGGAGAAGATTTGTAATTTAGAGCACAACCCTGCCCAAAGTCTAGTACTTTCAGAGTGCAATCTGATGCTTTTCTCCTTGGGAATAATCCCTGTTGAGTTCAATAGGACTTCTTCCCAGTTAAGTCTTTATAGGATTGCACCCTAAAGCAGATAAATGTTGAGTGTGTTTATATCTCACTCACTTAAAGCAATTAAACGTAAGTGCTTCCTCTTGGCAGTCCTATACCCTAATCTTTGTAATGCTCAGCTCATGCAAAAGTTGTAAAAAAAAATACATTTTATTCCTCTGTGAACTGTGCAGAAACAGGCATATCATGGCTTTATTTTGCTAGGCCAAATAATGCTGGAACTGTCAGATGTGTGCACAGTCCGAACAGCAGTTTCTTTTGGTTTATGTGTCCTCTGGCCTGTGACAGAAATGTCTCAATGTAGGCTTGCAAACCGTGGGTCTGAAGATAGTGTTCAGTACTACTCCTTGCTAGAGTCACTAATGAAGAACAGTGACCTGTCAGATTTTTTTCAGTAGGGAGCAAACAAGTCTACTTCTTTTCCTTAATGTTGTAAGTGATCTCATTATAGCCATTATACGCACATTACCATAAACTTGGCAAATGTAGTCATATTCCTTTAGTGATTAATATGAAAACCTATTTAAAGGAACTGTTCTTCAATAACCTCTGTTTTAAGCTAGTTTCTTCCTGCATATAAATATTTGTAGATTTTGCTGCTGACATCCATGGGTAAGAAATGGCAAATGTGCTAAAGGACAACACAAAGGCCAAAGTGTGAAATGTTAAATTGTTTAATTATAAGCCTGAGGGAGGGGGGGGGAGTTTTTCTGTGTTTTTGGTTTTTCTAATAGTCAACACTCAGATGGATTCAGGCAGCCAAGAGTTTCCCCCCATTGTGTAGTGATTGTGAGTGGAATTCCAACGGTAATAAATTGTCTAAACAAGTTTAGTGAACCATACTTGTTCTGAACAGTCAGATCTAGTTTACTATGAAATCTAGTTTACTACCAAATCTGTCACAGGAATGGAAACCCTTTCAGAAGCTACTTCAATGACTTTGAAATTGCATGCGGTCACACAAAGTCAACTACATGAACCCACATTCTCTGCTCCTTCAAAACAGACCACTCTATCCCTATATGACCACAATTACCCCTGGGTTTAATGGAGATGTTTTAGTGTCACCGTGGGAGCTTCACTTTCAATTATTACAAGTTCATGATTTTGCCTGATAATAAGAAATGTTACCTTTCCAATTGGAAAGGTCTACATTTGTTGAATGTGGGTTGTAATAAGTTTACACTCCCCTCATATGTAATAAATTTATTACATATTACATTTATCGTATGTAATAAATTGGGAAGTGGTTATTTAATGAAGTGAACAATTTTCTCTAAACATATTTGCCATCGCCACTATACTTCACTTACCCCATGATCCTAATAGTAGCAAAATTTGAATCCATAAGAAAGTAATTCTCTTTACTGAAGTTAGAGTCTCTAAGACAGTTGAAGTTTCTTCCATTTAACCGTCTTAGAAATAACACTAGATTGCAGACTCTTGATATTAAAATCCTATCTTTTCAGCCTTCACATTTGGCTTCTAGCATTTCACAGGGTACTTCTTTAAATGCAGCTATTATTAAACCAATTATATGTTTTTAAACTATTGATACCTCTGAACTGTTTCCCAAAAACTGTCCATAGCTTTCCTTGTATAATTATAACAAAAACATGGTTGAAATATTGTCAGTGATCGGTGGGGTAGGAAATTAACACCATTTTAATTCAAGGAGAAATTGTTCCTGTCCTAATTGTGATTTGGCTATGTTAGTAAAATATATCTTTGATAAAGTGGAGTTCAACCACAATGCCTTGGAAAATCAATATTTGAACTACTTCAAACACCCAATTTACACACTATAATTGAAAACTTGCTGTGAGGCTGTATGTATACAGTAGGATTGACCAGAAGGTGGCACTATAGTACATGCCAATGCAGGAAGGATGCATCCTTGAAATAATATCTGGTGTGTCAAACTGTTTTGTGTTCTGCTCTTGAAAAATATTTGGTTGAGTGCCATACACATTGTGGGAATGAGCCATAACAGATGCTTTTAAACAAGTAAACCTGTACTTTCTAAATTTTTGTTCCTGTGTTTAAAATTCAACACAAAACAGCATTAAACCAAGGAATAAACATGCATATTGCACAGCTAGAATTGAAAGTGAAACTTCAAAGTCATCTTAGGTTTATAATTTTGAAAATCATTATAAATAAGCTTTGTTCTTGGATATACACAAATGGTTTGAATAAAGGTTTTTGATTTACACAGCAAACAAGTAACACCCATGACTAATTTGTCATTATAAGGCACCAATGCAAAATACTATTTGGCTTAAAGTCTTTTTTATCAGAAAGGGATTTTCTGACAAGTGTCTTGGATTTTAATCCAGGGCTTGGAACTAGAGCCCTACTTTAGATGTGCCCGATTCATTTATTTACTTCCTTTTTTTGCAAGCTGTCTTGAAACTCTCCTTAGTGTGAAAAGTGGTTTGCCATATGACATTGGGAAGCTGCAACCTAAGCAACATAAAGCCAAACCTGCTTGGGCATATGGAGTTGTGTATCTTGTTTGTCTGAATCCCAGCCCAATGTTAAAATGCTCCACGCCTATACTCAAATCCCAGATGTTGAATTTGTTTGTTTGTTTTCCATTCTGTTTGTTTTTATCTTGATAGTTGTATTCTTTCTGATAGCAGTATTCTTAAAGAATGACGGAGACCTACAAATTGGAGACTCTCTTTATCAAGTTTCTTTTTACATTCTTGAAACAAGCAGAACACTGATGTGTGCCTATGTAAATGTATTACTCTCTTTTAAAAATGCTGATCTGTTTCTGAAAAAACATGAAGTTCTGTACAATTTCAGTTTTATTTCAAAAAGTCTGCATACCCTGTATATGTGAACATACCGTGATGCCCTAGGAAACCATTGTTATTTACCAATATTCCAATATTCTGCTGCTCCTGTGGTTTGCTATAGTTCTTGCATACCATGTAGTTGGCTGTCAATGATGTGCTTTAAATACTTTTGTATTTATATTATACCGACAACTTTTTGTTTGGACTGCTCAAAACTTCAAAAATAAAATGTGTTTATTCAAATCCGTTAGCCTTGCATGAAGTTTTTTTCCCCCTTTTGTAATGGAATACTGGCCAAAAATATATCCTCCATGCCCTACTTTGCTGTTTATTTGCCTTATACAGACTGCTTAATGAGTTTCAATTGGTGGTGGTGGTGGGGGGATTCAGCAAAGGCTGAAACACTAAAGGGGGATTTTAGCTTAATATTTTTGTACCTCACTTATCCGGTCATAGAGCACCCAAAGCACCTTACACCAAAATAAAATAAAATAAAACAAGTTTCTCATTACAAAAAAAAATCACATTTTAAAAGAAGACAATTTAAAAGTGGTAGTCAAAAACGTCAGTCTAAAAACAGTGACACTGAAAGTGTTGAAATAAAAGAAACATATTCAGTTTGTCTAAAAGACAGTGAAGAGGGAATTGGGTGAACTTTCATTAGGACAATATTCCAGATCAGGATGACAAGATGAAAAGCATAAAATTTAATACAAGGTTAATATAGGGGGGAAACCATTGTTTCAATATTTTATTTCTTTATTTTTAAATGAAATATTACAATAGGAATAGTTTGTGAAATTTTGCATTGTGTGGAAAAAGTGGGCAAAAGTAGTAGGAAGTCAAAGGAGAGTGCCTGAACTTATATGCAATGATTTTTTATTAGTGAGGCATCTAGTGCCTTGCTTGTCTTGCAAGCTGTGCAACTGCAACTCCTACTAAATCCCCATGGAACTGTTCAACTGGCCGTGGGAGCGGGGGTTAAAGTTTGCCAATATTCATTAAGAGATACTGCTACTTTGCCCTTGGAGGATATCACACTTACTGATTTGGGGCCATTTATCCATTTTAGCAAGGTCATGAAGTGTTTTTAATTGTTTATCCCAAAATAATAATAATCCAGTTAGATCAGTCTCAGGCCAGAAACTGGGGGTCGAGAAGTCTCTGGCTCAAATGTCACCTTGGCTATGAATTCACTAGGTAAGCCATTACCTCGTTTCCATCACACAAGCACACACACCTCTGTACAATTAATTTTATTTACAGGAGAGTTTTTAAACCAACATTCAGGGAGAAATACCATGGTGGTATAGAGTACAATAATTAAAGCATTGCAAAAGAATAAGGTGCAAAAGAAATGGACAACTCTGAATCAGTCTTGTCCCCTAATAATATTTGATGAAACGAGAAACGTTTTCAGCCGGTGGTAAAATATCAGAATCGTCGTTGGCTGCTGATCCCAATGAGAACAGTGTTCCAAAGTACTGGCACCACTATGCCAAAAGCTTTAGTTTGCATATAAACTAAATGACTATGACATAATGGGACAATCGAGAAGGCTTCTCCAGATCAGTGAAGTGATCTAGTCAGTGTATAAGTGGCCTGGCATTATGTTCAGAGTACAATACTGACCTACCTTACTGATGTCGGTGTCCTGATTAGAATACTATTTATGAAAAGTGACTTTTTAAAACTCCATAAATAAATGGTAAGTAGCTTGGGATGTTAAATAGGTGAAAGAGTCAAGTAAAAATGGATACGGTCAGCTACAGCAGCTGAGTGCAATACTCCCTAATATTTTATATAGAAGTTCCTTGCTTAAGGGATTAGCAATGATGATGACTACTTGGAATCTGTTCCACAAGCAAGAGGCAAGCCCCAGCAGATGTAGCATCTCTGCACCAGCGACAAAACATCAAACCAAGGGAACAAGTGACAAGCAACTGGGCAAATTCAGCAGCAGGGCAAACCAGGCTGCATCTCCCATCAGTGACCTAACAACTCTCAGGTAAACTGACATAATGGGTGTGCAGATAGAAGACCAACAGGGCTGTGGGGTTGCATAGAAAGCCACATGTATGACTATCTGCCTGCTTGACAGAAGTCATGGGTGCAATGAGTTTCCAGCCCACAGTGAACAAATGCATTTCCTTGAGGCCAAGGCAGGTGATCTGGAGAGAGGCAGAGAGCTTGTGGAATCTGCCAAAGTTGGCTCAGGGGCAGCGATGGAGATAAAGATCAGGCCAGGAAGGTCCAGCACCTTGCCATAGGGTACTGAGGGTCAAAAGCCAGAGTATAAATTAAAGGCCTACGCCGATGATTTGGTAATATCGTTAGAAGATCCAGTAAAAGGTATCAGTAAAGTTCTAGAGCTACTAGAAGAATTTGGAAAACTGTCCGGTTTTAAGCTAAATAAAGTTAAAACCAAGATGTTGACAAAGAACTTGGCTGAAGATTTAAGAAGCCAGTTAGAGTTGCAAACAGGAATCAAGGTGGTGAAAAAGGTGAAATATCTGGGTATTTGGGTCTCCACGAAAAACATAAACTTAGTAGAAGATAACTATATTAGGACCTGGAGAGAGATTTAAAAAGACTTAGATACCTGGAGTAGGATAAAACTTTCCTGGTCAGGAAGAATGGCCGCAATTAAGATGAGTATTCTTCCAAGACTGCTGTTTTTATTTCAGAACATCCCGGTGATTAGAGGTACGACAATGTTTAAAGATTGGCAGAAAACCCTTTCCAGATTTATTTGGCAGGGCAAAAGAGCAAGAATCAAATTTAAACTACTTACAGATCGAAGAGATAGAGGAGGGTTTGCCGTCCCGAACTTGAAATTATACTATGAGGCCTCGTGCTTGTGCTGGATCAAAGAATGGATCGTTTTGAAAAACACAGATTTGTTAGATTTAGAGGGATTTAACACCAGATTCGGTTGGCACCACCAGATATCTGTGGCACAATAAAGAGAGGGTACACAAAGGCTTCTCTAACCATATCATCAGAGGAGCGTTGCTTGAGGTATGGGACAGAAATAAAAGACTTATAGAAAAAGACACCCCCTGGTGGCTATCACCAATTGATATTCTAACAATCAAAAAATTAAACATGGAAAGTCAAAGATGGACCTATGAAGACCTCCTGGTAAGATCAGATAAAGGATGGAAAATCAGAACATATGAAGATTTAAAGGATAAATTAACGGGTTGGCTACAATTTCACCAAATTAATGCCTTATGGAACGAACATAAAAAACAGGGATGAATGAGAAAAAGTCCAGATACCAGGTGGAAATACTAGAAGGTAATTCCAAACTCTTATCCAAAATGTATAATCAATTACTAGATTGGGATACTAAGGATGAAGAGATAAAGGAAGTTATGGTCAAATGGGCCATAGATCTTGGATACAACCTAGATTACGATAGGTGGGTGAAACTTTGGAACAAGGATATGAAGTTCACAGCATGTGTTGGACTCCGAGAAAATATGGAAAAAATGATGTACCGATGGTACATCACCCCTGTGAAATTGGAAAAAATGTATAAGACCAGAGACAAAACATGCTGGAAATGCAAAACAAAAGAGGGTGATTTCCATCACATGTGGTGGACTTGTGAAGAAGTGGAAAGGTTTTGGGGACTTATTTATGATGAATTTTAAAAAATCTTGAAATACACTTTTCCCAAAAAACCCGAAGCCTTCCTCCTGGGAATGGTCGGAGAGGAGATCAAGAAAGAAGACCAAATAATGTTCCAATATGCAACGGTAGCCGCCAGGATATTGCTAGCGCAAAATTGGAAAACCCCTAATATCCCAACTGTTAGAGAATGGCAAATTAAATTATTCGAGTATATAGAATTAGCAAAGATGACACAAAAAATCAGGCATCAAAAAAGTGTAAAATTTATTAACGATTGGAACAAATTCATAACATACATAGAAGCAAATTTAGGAAATATTAAAATCACAGGTGTAACATAAAGCCTGTGATGTATAGATAGAGGCTGTAAAATGATACCGCAGAAAGGTATTGTGGCTACATAGCCCAAAACCGAGATGGAGGGAAGTCAATCAATGTTAAGTTATGAATTGATGTTGGTTTGTTTTCCGTTTGTTTTCTTTTTTTTATGTGTTGCTTTGTATTTTTTCCTTTTTTTGTTGTTCATTTGTATGTTTTTGTTTCTTCACTTTGTATGTTTTTGTCTTTAAAAAGAACTTAATAAAAAGAAATTAAAAAAAAAAAGCCAGTGTAATATGGAGAATCCATGATTAGATCACCTGATTTCTTAATAAATAAGAGCATCTGCTTTGAATGCGAAGGTTTTCGGTTCAATTACTGATGTCTCCAGGAAGTGCTAGGAAAAGCTTGTCTGAAACCCGGGATAATTTCTGCCAGTCAAAGTAGACAATACAAAGCCAGATGGTCCAATGGTCTGACTCAGTATAGGGCAGCTTCCTATTTTCTGGTTATAGATAATATAAGCCTCCAGGGCAGCCTGTTGATCAGAGACACGCTGCCTGGGTTAAACACCCTCCATCTCTAGTTCCACTGTTGCAGTAAAAATGGGGCACCATCTTCCTTCTCCAAGCTGTTTTTTTTAAAAAACAAAACAAAACAAAACAACACACACCAGTGAATCCACTCTTGGAACATCCACTGAGAAGGAAGGATGAGAGTTACACTGGAGATCTGAAACAGAGGGAAAGGGGTGTTTGAATTAAGGAAATGCATCCAATTAGAGAACAGCTATGAGGAGAAGCAACAGTAAAGGCAGGCTGTAGACACGGCACAGTTGTAGAGCACATGCTTTTCATGTAGAAGGGTGCCAGGTTCAATCCCCAGCCTTTCCACGTTGGGCTGGGACAGATCCCTTCTTGAAACCATGGAGAGATACTGCCAGTCAGTGTGGGCCTTACTGAGCTCGAGGGACCAATGGTCTGAATCAAGGTATGGCAGCTTTCTATGAACCAAGTTGAGGAACCTGTGGACCTTCAGATACTGCCCAGTCTACAAATCCCCAGCATCATTGCACAGGGATTAT